TACTTCAGCTGTTGTTAATATTATCTCTGGAAACAATTACTGCTTTACTATTAACCTAGTTTTTATTCCCAATTTCCCAATCAAATTTAAATGATAGTTTATTTTTGATACATAATGTCTGTAAATGTTTATGATGTTATGATGATAACAAAATGTGGTATTTTGTTACATGCATAAAATGTATCATGATCAAGTCAGAGTATTTAGGATATCTACCACCTCTAGCATTTATCGTTTCTATATTGGGAGCATTTCAAAATCCCCTCTTCTAGCTAGTTTGAAATATACAGTACATTGTTGTTAACTTTAGTTACCCTACTTTGCTAATAAATATTTGCTACCACAGTCTTCCTACCTTTTGTAATTATCATTCTAGTCTATATCTCCTGAGAACAACTTTTTAGCTTCCGCACATGAGTGAAAATGTGTGATATTTGTCTTTCTAAACCCGGCTTATTTCATTTAATATCTTCTAGTTCCATCCATGCTGCTACAAATGACAGGATTTCATTCTTTTTTATGGCTTAATAGTATTCCATTGTATATATAGACCATATTTTCTTTATGCATTCATCCATTGATGGACACTTAAGTTGATTCCGTATCTTTGCTATCGTGAGTAGTGTTGCAATAAACATGGGACTGTAGGTATCTCATTGATATACTGATTTCCTTTCCTTTGGATAAATACCCAGTAGCGAGATTGCTAGATCATACAATAGTTCTGATAGTTTATTTTTACCTTCACTGTTTCAGAAAACATTTTTAACACTTACATTATAATATAGTAACTTAAGAATTACTTGATAATTTTAAAGTGTCTACTTTTTATGTTGAAGAATTTTTTAAAATCTTAACAGATTTAATAGCACAAAAGAACTAAAATAGGTCATTTGTTTTAGGATGGCTTAGAAGAAAAACAACTTAAATTTGTCAAGAAACTGGTACAGTGTTTTCAGAATGGACTTGTATCCTTTATGTTTGTATGTATGTTCATTTCATTTATTCTGAAACAAGACAATTTCTATTAGAAAATGTACTAGTTTTCTATTGCTGTTGTCACAAATTACCACAAATTTGATGGCTTAAAACAACATAAAGTTATTATCTTACAGTTTTGGAGGTTAGAAGTCCAAAATCAGCCTCACTGGACTAAAGTCAAGATGCTGGCAGGGCTGATTTCTCCTTAAGACTCTAGAGAAGAATCATTTCCTTGTCTGCCCCAGCTTCTGGAGGCTGCCTACATTCCTTGCCTCATGCCCTCTTCCCCCCACTGGCATCACTCTCACCTCTGCTCCTGTCATCACATCATCTTCTCTCTCTGACCCTCCCTTCCTCCCTCTTTCCTTTATGAGGATCCCTGTGATTACGGTGGGCCCACCTGGATAATCTAGTATAATTTTCTTATCTCAAAATTCTTAATCATATGTGAAAAGTGCCTTTGCTATGTAACATAGTTACAGGTTCCGGGAATTAGGACATGGACATCTTGGGGAAGGCCATTAATCTGTCTAGCACAGAAAAACTGGAGAGGCCATTATTCTGTCTACCACAGAGAATATCTAAGGTTTTATGTTTTTTACAAAACTGTATTTTGTATCAGAGAATGTAAATAAAATTGAAGAAACAATGTAACACAAGTAACTGTGGATAATATCAGTTTTTGTAGATTCAGAAAGACAATGGATATAGTTAGAGGGCCAAGTCAAAGTCATTGTTTCTATTAATTTACATGGGCAGTTGTACCTTTGATAAGCTTCTTAACTTCTTCATCCTTGTAAAGTAATAGAAGCTCATGAGGTTGTTAGGAAGATTAGATGAGATCATGTACATGCAAGTGCTTGATAATCTGTAAAATATTATATAAATATACTATCCCTACTAAGTATACCACCCTGATCAGAATACATGAAAACCAGTGTGTCTTAAAACTATCTGTACATAAAAGCCAGGTGTGATGGCTTACATCTATAATCCCAGCACTTTGGGAGGCCAAGACAGAAGGATTGCTTGAGGCTAGGAGTTCAAGACCAGACTGGTCAACATACCAAGACCCTGCCTCTACAAAAAAGCAAATAACCAGGTGTGGTGGTGTGTGCTAGCTACTGGGGAGGCTGAGGCAGGAGGATTGCTGAAACCCAGGAATTCAAGGTTATAGTGATTTAAGATTGTGACACTACACTCCAGTGTGGGCAACTAAGTGAGACCCTGTCTCAAAAATAAGCAAACAAACAAACAAATACTACCTGTGGATAAGAACCAGTTTGTTGTTAGGTTGTGTTTTGTTTGTTTGTTTGTTTTTGAGACAGAGTCTCCATCCAACCTTAGCTGCCCAGACTGAAGTACAGTGGTGCAGTCATAGCTCACTGCAACTTCAAACTCCTGGGCTTAAGCGACCCTCCTACCTCAGCCTCCCAAGTAACTGGGACTACAGGAATGCACCCACCATGCCTGGTTAATTTTTATTTTTTTGTGAAGTCTCATTATGTTGTCCAGGTTGGTCTCGAATTCCTGAGCTCAAACAATCCTCTCGCCTCGGCCTCCCAAAGTGTTGGGATTACTGGTGTGAGCCACTGCAGCTGGCCATTTTTTTTTAACATTTACATATATATGCTATTGTAAAATACAATAGAAGTATCCCACAAGTATTAGATTGTTATAAAAGTTTTTATATGCCCACTCTTGCTTTCTGTATTCATTTTGTCACAGACTGGTAAATACACTTCTAGAACTGACAGTGGTCCATAGACCACACTTTGAATAGTATTCATCTAAATCAAGCTTGTCCAACCCTCAGCCTGTGGGCTGCATGCTGCCCAGGATGGCTTTAAATGCGGCCCAACACAAATTTGTAAACTTCATTAAAACATGATGAGATTTTTTTTGACAATTTTTTTTAGCTCATCAGCTATCATTAGTGTTTGAGTATTTTATGTGTGACCCAAGAGAATTCTTCTTCTTTCAGTGTGGGCCAGGGAAGCCAAAAGACTGGACACCCCCGAAAATGATCTTGAACAGTTGTCTGACTTGGTCTAAAGAAGTTATTAAGCCCATGTATTGTGGCTCATGCCTGTAATCTCAGCACCTTAGGAGTCTGGAGCAGGAGAATCATTTGAGGCCAGGAGTTTAAAACCAGCCTGGGCAACATAGCAAGACCCCACCTCTACAGAAAAAAATAGCCATGTATGGCGATGCACACTTGTAGTTGTATCTTCTCCAGAGGCTGAGGCTGAGGTGGAAGGGTTATTGGAGCCCAGAAATTTGAGGCTGCAGTGAGCTATATTTGCTCCACTGCACTCCAACCTGGGTATGGGTGACTGAGTGAGACCCCATCTCTAAAAAAAAGAAAAAAAAAGTTATCAAGCTCTAATATTAGCTCGTTCTAGTTCAAAACCTCTTAAGACTTCCATTCAGAAAAATGTTTCTTTTAATTTTATCTAAATCTTTTATTATATTTTATTCTTGGTTTTATTTGGACCCGTTCAATCTTAGGGCTTGTGTATATCAAGCCCTATTTACTGGTAGCTGAAAATGTCTACTAGCAGGTGATTTCTTTTCCTATTTTAACCTGATACCTCAACACCTCCATTTTTTTTTTTTTCTTCATGTAAACCGTTGGTGGCAATTGGCTCTATTTCTGATTCCCTTTCATAGGCTAGTTATATAAATTGTAAAACTTAGCAAAGTTGGAGAAGTATCTTGGTCACTTCTCTAGGAAATTAACAGAGCTTTCTATTTCCAGTGTACCCTGCTCTCCCATCTTTTCCTAAAAGGTCCTAGAAAAAGGCTAGAAGTAACAAGATTCAACCAAGAAGTGTAAGTCACATCTACCATAATTTCTTAGCTATAAAACAAAATCAATGAAATGTGTTTATGTGCCAATGGGAATTTTTTTTTTTTTTTTTTTTTTTTTGAGTCGGAGTCTCACCATGTCACTGAGGCTTCAGTGCAATGGTGTGCGATCTCAGCTCACTGCAACCTCCACCTCCTGGGTTCAAGCGATTCTCCTGCCTCAGCCTCCTGAATAGCTGAGATTACAGGTATGCACCACCACGCCCAGCGAATTTTTATATTTTTAGTAGAGACGGGGTTTCACCATGTTGGTCAGACTGGTCTCGAACTCCTGACCTCGTGATCCGCCTGCCTCAGCCTCCCAAAGTGCTGGGATTACAGGCATGAGCCACCATGCCCAGCCAGCAGGATTTTTTAATAGATAAAATAAAAGATGCTTTTGTTTAAAGATCTAGAAAGGCTATATTTTGCATTGGAGTTATACCTGATGTAAATGACGAGTTGATGGGTGCAGCACACCAACATGGCACAAGTATACATATGTAGCAAACCTGCACGTTGTGCACATGTACCCTACAACTTGAAGTTTAATAATAATAAATAAATTTAAAAAAATAAATAAATAAATAAATAAATAAATAAATAAAAGAAAGGCTATATTTTGCTTTCATATTAGTTTCAGATAAAATCCTAACCAATTTAAGCCTTAAACACAGGAAAATGCATCTCAGTTTAATATTAATAAAATAGTAGAGTAAAGTAAGGTTTGGGTTGTTTATTCTGAGACAGCATATGTTTGTGTGGGCGGGGATTGGGGGTGAAGATGAAGGGTATAATTGACCCTAATCAATAAGTTAATGTTTCCAATGTGCTATTACTCATTGCCAGTGGGAAGTTATTGATCAACTGAATCTGTGTTGTAGCAGTTGGTAATCCAATTCTAAAGTTGTGAGAGGAAAAAAATTTTGAGTAGGCATTTTTGAGGCAAAAATGAATTTTTTTTTTTTTAAAAATATGGTTCTAAATTTCCTTTTTTAGACTTCAAAAAAAGAAAAATTAAAACAGTATCTACCACATTTGGCAAAATAGTTGGAATTCTATAGACTTTCTTCACAGAAATACTATAAAGAATATGTTAATAAAGAATCTTAATTTTATTAATTTTATTTCTTAACTAAAAATATTAAAGCCATTAAGGGATTTAGCACAGATATTTAAAATTCTGAATCTGTGTGCAGGAAAAATAAAAAACCAGCCTCGTTTTGTAGAATCTGCATATGATATCATAAAACTGTGTGGGTAAGTTATCTTTCTTTAACTTTATTTTGGATTAACATGGGGTGTGTTGTTATGTTTCTTGTATCACAAACATACTATGCATTATAGTGTAGCAGATTGCTACAGAACTCAAGAAAACTTCAGTTCATCACTTGATTCCAGCAGTTGGTATTTCAGGTAATCGGTTTGCTGTGGTCTGAGACTGCTAACCACAAGAGATTAAATTCAAAGTATATTGAAATGCTTTCTTGTAATTAGTTACTCTGAAGTAAATGATGAATATTAGATGTAACCAAGGAATTATAGTGTTTTCAGAGAATTTTTGAGTGAACTTATGGATATGCTTGTAGTTTCAGTCTAGTTTTTTTCTCTAGAAAATTTGGGCCTCAAAGATATATTAGGTTATATGTCATGTTTTATCTGATTTTTGAAATTTGAGTGAAGAATAAAATATCACCAATTACATTTGATATATATTTTAAAAATGTAAGTTAGGGGTAAGAATTGTAAAATTAACGTGCCTTATTCTTTCTACTGTTGGTTCTTTAACAAGCTCTGGGAACTGAATATATGGTGCTCCCTTGGTGCCACATGGTGGCTAATCTAGGTATATATTAAAATATCCATTTTTAGTTGCTTAATGTAATGTAGTAGGGAGGAATAAACCTTTCTGACAATTTTAGCTTCTGAACCTTTCTACCAATTTAACTTTTTAGATAGCAATTATTTACTTTAATATACAAATAATATATAAATAATTGAAAGGTTTAGTGGAATTATGCATACATGGTAGGTTCTAACTCTCACTTTTAGATTTAGCAGCAATATTTAAAATGTTTGTAACCACTTAAATTTATTTTTTTGATATCTGAATAAAATAACCAAAATAATATATTGAATGCCTATACCACGCCTTGCTTTTTAATAGATAGGGACAATGGAAAATAAATGGTTGCTCTGGTGTTTTCAAGGAACAGATTGGAAATTATTATTATATTGACATACGATTATATAATGTAAAACTTTTAAATCTCAAGGCTTTGCAAGTCCTAGAACACCAAGTTTATAAGCATTACTTTCAACATCTATGCTCCTACAGAGCTCTGCACAAAGTTCATTCTCTATGAAAACTTGTGACTGAATGTTTAATTATATAGCTGCAGTCTTCATTTTCCCTCATATTTCATAATTATTCACATTGTTAATTTTTTCTACTTTTCTAATTTCAGCTTATGTCTAGATAACTTCTCTACACCTCACCCTCACTTGTTTCTCTTTTCAAGACATTTTTGGAAGATAAAAACAATAAAAATAGAATAATATTTCCATTTTGGCCTCCAAGTAGTGTGGTTTTCTCACTGCATCAGAAGTATAATGCTAACTTTTTCATAAACTTTTTGGTTGAAAACTCTTCTGATGCTTTATCTTATAGGTTGTCTCTTTGCTAGAAAAGGAAAAAGTTTGGGAACAAAAAGTACTAGTTTTAGAGTCCTTTAGAGATCCAACAAGCAGCTGGATAACAAATATAATACGTTATTTGTTTCAAATGACAAATTTAGACAAACACTAGAAATGAACTTCTGTGGCATTTATAAAATTGTACTTTTTATAGCTTGCTCTTCAGCTATCTTTAAATTCAGATTGGCCTGTATATTGCTATTAATACATCCTCATGTGATAGTTCTCAATGCCATTTTCAACCACTTCTTTAATTTTTCTTGGAAAATATGAATGAAAAGTCTTCTCTATATAGGATATATTGTACTTTAAATAGTACAGGAGGTTCAAATTTTGAACTCATGAAATGTCAAGATTGTTTATATATTTAAAAAATAACTTTTATATTATCTTTGAAATTTAGACTGACCCAGGTTTATGTGCCAGATCTTTTAAGATTTATAAAGAAGTTACTTCCAAATAACTTTGGTTATAGTAGTTGTGAAATGCAATTCTAATATAATTAATATTTCTTAACTTGAATGCCTTAATGTCTGCAAAAGCATTTTCTTACTTTGTGGGTAGTTACTAACCCAGCTAATAAGGAAAAATGCACTGATCTCTAAGAATGAATAAACTATTGATTTTGCCTAGAGTTTTGAAAATTTCAGGAAAAGCTCTTAACCAGTTTTTAAGTCATTGGTGAGCTTAGATCTATGGTTTGTATCAGATTATCCAATGTCGTACTAACTTTGATAGAATTATAGCTATAGTTTATTACTATTTTGACCTCAAAGATAAAGAGGGTTCCTAAGTTTTTTATTCATGAAGCAATGCAAAATGACTTTCTTAACCTATGACTTTTACATCCATTTCTTAATTTTTATAATTAATATAATATTTTCTTTTTGGTCAGTTCATTAGAAACATTTTTTTCTTTTCTTTTTTTAAATTTTATTTTATTTTATTTTTTGATAGAGGCTCGCTCGCTCTGTCACCAGGCTGGAGTGCAGTGGTGCAATCTCAGCTTACTGCAACCTCCGCCTCCCAGGTTCTAGTGATTCTCCTGCTTCAGCCTCTCAAGTAGCTGGGACTACTGGCACATGCCACCATGCCCAGTGAATTTTTGTATTTTTAGAAGAGACAGAATTTCACCATGTTGGCCAGGATGATCTCAATCTCTTGACCTCGTGATCCACCCACCTCAGCCTCCCAAAGTGCTGGGATTATAGGTGTGAGCCACTGCACCCAGCCCCAGAAACATTTTTAATAGTTACAATACTATTAAACTATAATACTATATATTACAACTGGTAGTTAATAGTTGTCAATTCCCCAGGGCTAAAGAATAGAATATTATTATTAATTTATTCTTTAGAAATGAACTCTCCCCCATTTACAAATGATGCTTCAATCAAAGACTTTATTAAAAATTACTCTTACAATTCTTCACTCTTATTGAAGCTTGCCATTTTTGAAAAAGAAAGTATCGGATGAAATAACTTATGCTGAAGATACTGCTAATTCAATTGCGCTTCTGGGTAAGTTGAGATTTCCTTAAGGTATACGGATGTAATGTATGACAGGTCCTACTGACAAGGAAGTATCTATTTTCCCCAAGTTTCACTAAGAGGACTCCTTCTCCATGTCTAGGATCTTCTGTTGTTTCCTGGTAGTGAATTAATCACAGTGTGCATGGTGATAATTCTGGTATTGTATTCTGCTCAGGTTGTTTCATGATACCAATAAAAGTCCGTCTTCTAAGTACAAGGACAGGCTGGTTATGTAGTTTGATGATTTGTTGTTTAGTTTGATGAAGTGTTTGTTCACTATTTTTGTAAATCAGAAAGTATACATCCCCCTTTTTAAGTAATCACGAAAACATTTCAACTTTGAACTCTAATATTTAATTGCTACAATCATAGAATTATTCATTAAATGATCTAAAATTTTAAATCAAATCATAAAATGATAGCATATTAAGAACTTCAACATAATGCACATAAAGATGCAGATGCCTGTATTTTGTACACAAAAATATGAAAAATATCATAAAAGGGTAGGTATTTACATACGGGTTATCACTTGATTTTCTAAAGAAAGAAAACAATTTCCTGGGAAATTAGATCAGGGAAACACTGGCTCTTTGAGTCAGCTCCTGGGACATGACAGCATGTTCCCAAAACAAATTGTACATTAAATCGATACTTACTAGTTTAGGTCTTTATTTGTACAGGAGGAATAAAAGATACACAATTGATCCAATATATCATTAAAAATATTTGCTGAATAGTGATGTTGCCAGCATTACACTCCATGTAGAAAGATGTTAGAGATTCAACTGGAATGAAGAAAAAAAAGGATTTTTCTTTTTAACATAGAACTAACCCTTTTATATCTCAGTAGGTTTTATAGTTTTTAATTTTAGTTACTTTGGGAAAACTACCTAGGATTCACCTACTCTACAGCCTAGAGTAGAAAAACACCTTAGGAAGCAGGCAGGTTCAGAAATATGGGAATTTTTAATTATGTGAATCTCTATCATCAGTGGAAATTTACAACAAGAAGCCAACCCAAAAGAGGACATGGTAGCATTAACAGAGAAAAAGTGTAGTTTTTGTTGGTAACATTTTTAAAAATACCCCCGTTGCCATTATTTTTAAATATTGCTTCCAAAAGTGTTGACAGTCACTTGTATTATAAATACAGGCCAGTTTTTTACTGAGTGTCAGCTTGTTCTTTGCTCAATGACTGGTACCTGCCTATACAACATGCTACTATCTTATATGACAACAGTATGAACTCTTAACTTTAAATGAGTTTCCTTTGCTGATTACTGACTGCAAGTACTGCTCTTCTGTCTCTCGGTTTTTTTAAATGGCTGGAAACATTAGTTTAAACTAAAATAATTGTATATAAGATGAAATGTTGAACAAAAACTCTTCATGATTTTAGTAAGAACTTCCAGTTTCTACTCTGTGCTAATAAGTTATATTACATTTTCTTCCAAATGACACATAGATATTTCTGACTCAGAAGCAAGATTCTGGAAATGGATGAGGGAAGAAGTTGGTTCTCTGCCCTGAGATTATGAAACAGGAAGCTATGATAAATTATCTAAATTTACAGGAACTAAAACAGTGGAAAAGCAGATGAAAGACCCTAGAATTTCCCATAAGCCTGCATATTTGGATAGTCTTGTTGGAAAAGCTTAGTTGTTCCTATTGTGTAAAATTTTTAAAACCTAAGTAGTGATTTTGCAACTCCAAAAGAACAGTCCAAAAAATAAATAAAATTTAGAGTTAGAATAATCTTAAAACTGTCTTTTTTAAGTGATGTCTTTTGCAGAGATTCTCCTGAAGCTAGGGTCAGGCTTTCCTTTGTGCTTTATCCTTCTGTCCGCTTGCCACCCCACTTGCTAACCACCTCCAGAGATTAGCATCTTGCAAGGGCTAATGCAAAAGAGGAATTGCTAATTATTCTTTTACCCTCAGAGAGTCCAACCAGTTCTAGTTTAGTTCTAAGGTTGATATCACTGACTACAGCTGTCCTCGGGCATTCAGAGAACCTGGATCATTTCCAGAGTCTCACAGATCATTTTCAGATACTCTTGGGGATCATGTTTATAGGACTTCAACAGAGTAGATACAAATCCAGTTTGAAATACAGGCTGAAGCCAATTTAATTGTAGTTTAGATACGACCGAAAAGGAACCTTTCTATTCACCAACCCCACGCAGACAGCTTGAACATAAAACTATTACCCTTGCCTGTGGGGCAGCTGCCTAAAAACTCACTCTCTTCCAGTCTGCCAACAAATTGAAGAGCAAAGTTCACCTGGAACTTCTCTAAGCAAAGAATGCATTAGTAAAGACAAAAAATTACTGACCCTCTAGTTAGGGAGAAAAATGCTAACCCATATCTTGTCAAAGTAATAATAGTATCTAACACATGTAGAACTTACAATATGCTAGATGCTTTTCTCAGCCCTTTTCTCATATTAGCTAATTTAATCCTCACAGCAATCTTAAATGTGGTAACTATTGTTATACCTGTTTAATAGATGAGAAAGGTAAGACACAAGTTTATATGGGTAGTAAATGGCAGATCCAGGATTTAATCTTAGACAACTTGGTTCTAGCATTTGTGTTAATAATCATCATTCTTTTCTCCCTAGAAAGGAGAGGCTGAATTCATTGAGGGGCCAAATGTATAAGGATGGATTCAGGGTACTGTTTATATGTATATGTATGTATGTGTGTGAGCATATGTATAAAAATATGTATGTAAATTGAACATGGTCCAGTTTGAATCTCTGAGAATATTGTTAATAATCATCATATTATTAACATTTTATGCCTAAATTCTACAAATAAGCTTATGACAGTGTTGTTAAGTAGCACCTGTTTATCTTTCTGGCAGGTGACTTAATGAAAATACCAAGTTCTGAATTGAGGATACAAATTTGTAAGTGTATTGTTGATTTTTATCATGCAGAACCACCAAAGAAGCATATTCCAGGTGAAGTTTACAATGGTCTTTCAGTGATAACTTGTGTATTTAGAAAGCAGAACATTCTCATTTCTCTTTGAATTTGACAGACACAGTGGGCTTATAAATGTGACACATTAAAAAGAAAACTTTTTTTGTAGTCTTGATCTCTTCAGTCATCTTTTAAAAGTTATATATGTATTTTTCAGTTTTTGATTTGCATATTTTTATTCTGATGCTAAATGTGAACAGATTTGTAAAGTGATGCCCAATTTAGTTTATTAATAATCATAAATGTTACTATTATATTATGTAATACTATTGATAAAATTATTTTTAAACACTTTATAATTATTTATAATATCTGCCCCCACTCAGTTAAATGTTAAACTACCAATACCAGGGCCATTCTCCATCATGTTTGGGAAAATAGTTCTGTGTGTTATAGCTAAGGGACCTTAATATATAGTGGTAAGTGAACCACACTGAATTGGGCAGGAACAAGACAGCGGCACGTGTACTGTGAGGATATAATGTTAAGATGTACTTCTTACCTTCATAGTTTCCGTAATTTCTAATCAATCTAGGAAGGGAGAGAAGATATAAACAGTAACTTCTTAAGTTATGAGATTCTTAATATAGGTGGAAATAAGAGTCTATGGTAGTTCAAAAGAAAGATTATTTAAGACTAAGGAAAAGTGGGAACCAGAAGTCGATTTAAAAAAGACAATTTAAAAAAGAAAAAAGAAATTCAGGGAAAACAGAAGTAAGTCAAAAAACAAAAAAATGGAACAACAGCTAAACTAGAGAAATGAATAAGGAGATTCTTAAATGTCCAATTTGAACTATTGATGAGATAGATGGGTAGGAGTGTCTTGGTAGATAAAAGATATTGGATACTAAAAGCAACAGGGACCAGAAATACAGGTTTGGAATCCACCCAAATAGAGTTGAAAAGCCACCGGAATGGTTGAGTTTGCCAAGAGATAAAACAGATAAGCAGCAAGGCATGAAAAATGACATGGAGAGTGTCCATATTGAGGTTTGGAAAAAATGATTAAAAGAAACTGGCAGTGAAGGGAGGTTCAAAGAGGAGGAAGAAAACCTAAAGACTGCCATGTCTTGTGTGCCAATGAATGAAATATTTGACAAAGGAGAAGGAAGTTGTCTCAGTGTCAAATGCTGCAGAGTTTTCTGTAATCGAAGAGTTAAAAGGCCAAGTCAGTGTGACACCGGAAAAGTTGTGGTTAATCTTTGACAGATCTATTGATATACAGTGGTTAGGCAGATGCAGGCTTAAAGAATCAGAGGATTGGCCGGGCGCGGTGGCTCAGCCTGTAATCCCAGCACTTCGGGAGGCCAAGGCGGGCGGATCACGAGGTCAGGAGATCAAGACCATCCTGGCTAACACGGTGAAACCCCGTCTGTACTAAAAAGAATACAAAAAATTAGCCGGGCATGGTGGCGGGCGCCTGTAGTCTCAGCTACTCGGGAGGCTGAAGCAGGAGAATGGCGTGAACCCGGGAGGCGGAGCTTGCAGGGAGCCGAGATTGCACCACTACACTCCAGCCTTGGCGACAGAGCCAGACTCCGTCTCAAAAAACAAACAAACAAAAACAACAACAACGTAAAAGAATCAGAGAATTGTGAGAGTAGAGGCACTGGATTTGAGACTGAGAGAGTAGTGGTAGTTCATGAATGCAGATATATCTTAAGATGAGATGGTGAAGAAAAAGAAAAGATGGAGAACAGCTCAACTAGTGCAAAGTCAGAGAAAGGTTATTTGGGTTTTTGGAATAGGAAGAAATCACATTTGTAGGCAGAGGAACTAGAAGCTGGTAAGAAAGAAATGGGAAGGCGAAATTCTCAAAGAAAGCACAAGAGGATGGAATTAAGAGCACAAGCTTAGAGTTAACCTTGGCAAAATACAGATACCCTTCAAAGAAAGGGAGACAAGTGATGTAGGACTTAAGACAGAGGAGTATTATGGGGCAAAGACGTGAGGTTTATTTGGTCAGGCTCTGAAAATTAGGAGTCAGTGCTCTCACTATCACACAGTTGGTTTCAAGTAATGGGTATGGCCAGACATCTGGGACCACAGCTGAAAAGTCCTCAGTACAGCAGTAGAAAGAGACACAGCCCTGGAGACAGAAATTAAGTCCATGAGCTTTAATAGTGTTATATCCCTCTATTAAAAGGTACTTGCAAGAGAAAAAGATACAGTAAGTATAAAGTACATTTTGGTCCATCCATATGATAGACTATTATGCACTTAAAAATCATGATTTTAGAAAATATTTTATAGGATAGGGAAAAGCTTACAATAAAAGTTTAATGAGTACAGTAGAATATAAAATTCTGTATACTAGTATGTTGTTAAAATTGTATGCATACATTAAAAATATCACAAATAGCCGGGCGCGGTGGCTCACGCCTGTAATCCCAGCACTTTGGGAGGCCGAGGCGGGCGGATCACAAGGTTAGGAGATCGAGACCATGGTGAAACCCCGTCTCTACTAAAAAATAGAAAAAATTAGCCGGGCGCAGTGGCGGGCGCCTGTAGTCCCAGCTCCTCGGGAGGCTGAGGCAGGAGAATGGCGTGAACCCGGGAGGCGGAGCTTGCAGTGAGCCGAGATTGCGCCACTGCACTCCAGCCTGGGCGACAGAGCGAGACTCCGTCTCAAAAAAAAAAAAAAAAAAAAAATCACAAATATATGAAAATGTTAATATTATCTCTAGATGATGAAAATATAGGCAATTTTTATCTTTCTCTTCTTACTTTTTAAATGATTTTTTAAATTCATGTGGTGAGTAGCTAGAGCATATCATAGAAAGCTCATCACAGCATTGGACAGGGTCTTGTCCACAGCCAGAGATCGTATTTAGAAAGATAAGACAAACTGACAGATACCTCAGAACTAGGGCAAAGTTAAGGAATCTAGTTGGACTCAAAAATCAAAAGTCAAGGAATTAGATAAGTGAGATCACTAAGAAAAAATAAAGCATCATCTCAGTAAATGAGGACCCTTTGGTGTTTATTTAATCCCTCTAGTTGAATGTAGTTAAGTAAGCACCTGTATACCTGCATCAAAAGGAGAGTTAGTATTTCTCACAGGTGCTAAGACAGAAGGAATTTTTATCAAATGTGTCACCAAGAATCAAATTTCCCTAAAACACCTTTAAATTCATTCACAATTATCAGAGTAGCATTACATTTTTCACCTCTTATTTTATTGTGGACACTACATAATTATTGTCCCTTGAAAATACTGAAGTAATGCATTGGACCAGAACAGTGAAACTGGCTAGTGAAAACATTCAGTATTTGTAATCCAATCATTTTCCATTATAGAAAGTCATATCTACTGACAAGAAATATTGTTCTTTTTTAGAATTTAGGATGTTTCCAAAATTCATGGTCCTATTTTAAATACTACACCAGGGATCAGCAAACTCTGGGTCCCAGGTCAAACTAGGCCCACTGAAAACAAAATTGTGTTAGAACACAGCCATGCCCATTTATATTTATACTGTTTATTACTGCTTTCTTGCCACAATGTGCTATAGAGCTGAGTAGTTGACAAGAAACCTTATAACCTGCAAAGCTTAAAATACTATATGCCCCTTTACAGAAAAAAGTATGGCTCATCCCTATGCTGCACAATTCATAAATTCCATACACTTTTGAAAAGTTGTTCTTGCTATTGCTTAATAATAAATTACTCATTCTTTTGTCTTAATGATCATTCTGTGAGATAACTGGTTGTATTTATTAACTAATTGTTGTTAGGTTACCAGCAAGCGAGTTCATCATACAAGATTCAAATGGCTGAAGTTGGAGGATTAGCAAAAACAATGGTCCAGTCAATCACCTTGCTTGAAAATCAACTTGTTGAGAAACTTTGGGTACTTAAAGTTCTGCAGCATCTTTCGACTTCTGGTTTGTATATTATTAAGTTTAAACACTTCATTGTCAACTACTTTTGTTTCTGTCTAAAAATGTCAATATTGTAAAGCAAAAATAATGTTTAAAATTTATTTTCAGAAGTTAATTGTACTATAATGATGAAAGCACAAGCAGCCAGTGGAATCTGTACTCACCTCAATGACCCAGATCCCTCTGGACAGCTTTTATTTCGTTCATCAGAAATACTTTGGAACTTGTTGGAAAAATCTTCAAAAGAAGAAGTCATACAACAGCTTAGTAACTTGGAATGTTTGCTGTAAGTGTATGTGGTTAGATAGGAATGTTCTTTTAATCTTAAAATGATAGCCAGTGACATAACTAACATATTTGTTTGAATCTGTGTTCAATTATGTTTTAGATTCATGTAATGGCTATGTTTCAGTACATCTTCTTTGTGCCATGGTATAAATGAATCTTCACAATAACAAGCCACATTTTTCTATGTGGAAGGCTCTTGAAGTAACTTCTTAACACTAAATTATACCTTGGAATATACATAAAGTAAAAGTAGACTTTAGAAGAACGATTTCATTTATTTATCCAGTGAATCTATTATTGAGTGCTTACTATCTTCCAGATATTGCAGTAAGCATTAGCAACAAAATGTAAGCCTTCAAGTTGCTTCTTCACTTATTCAACAAATAATTGTCTGCTCTATGCCAGCTTCAGTATTAAGCCATAGAAATACCACTGAAAACAATACAGATATTGTCTTTGCATTCATGGAATTTACATTGTGCTAGGAGGGATGGACAAGGAAATAGACAACTAAAAGAGAACATACTAAATGTTATGAAATAGATTATTGTAAGATGTACATGTTCTTCAGAAGAAGGTCAATCAGCACATTTTTGTTTGCAGGTGACTAAAAACCCAACTGATCAAAGCAATATAGAAAATTTATGGCTTATTTAACTACAAAGTCAAGGATAAAACTAGTTTGATGTACAGTTTTATTCAGGGATCAGCAGATATTAGGACTTGGTCCCTCCTCTCTCTACATTGTCTTCTATGGTGTTGGCTTCATATCCAAGCCTGTGTAGTAAGACCTAAGAAGTCTAGGATCACATCATCTCAACCTCAAATCAAGCAGAAGAGAAACCTTGCTATCCTGAAGGCTCAGAGAAAAGTCTTTGAATTGAGTCCAGTTTGGCCCTGAATGGTCTAATATTGGTCACATGCCCATTCCACAGTGATTTATTAATGCCAAAAGAAAAAATGCTCTGACTGGTGAAAAGGCAGCTGAAGGCAGCCTCACAGGAGCAAAAGTCAGGAAGGAGTAAATGCCTAAATAAAAATAAGAATGCTGTTCTTATAAAAAGGGCAAGTAGGTCCCAGGAGGCAAAGCAACAAATGTCTACTATTAATACAAGGGAACCTAACTCAGAGTTGGAGAATTCATAACTGCTTCCTAATGAATTCAAGTCTAGTAACTGAATGACAAACAGGACTTGGTAACACAGAAAAGTTTTGCATGCAGAGAGTGTCCTAGACAGGGAAAACAAGTGAAAATATAATTAGCAAAATTGGAAAACTAAAATTCAGTGTAGTGAGAGCAGAAGGAACAGGCTACAATGGTGAGAGATGAGGCTAACAATGTTATCAGGGCCCGTAACATGACAGGCCTAATAAGCCTTGTTAAGGAAGTAGGACTTAATCCGAAGAATAAAGAATAGTCTTTAAATGGTTTTACAAAGGAAAATGACATGATTGAATGTATTATAGAGCTGTCACTTTGACCACCATGTGTAATAGACTGGTTTGGTGGATTCTTATCTGGTACATAGAGAATTAGAGGCAGATTTTGAAGTGTAAAAAATATTAGAAATATGTTTAAATCAATAGTATAATATGAAAAGGGAGATTTTGTTGATAGACATTCAGGTAGTATTTCCATAAAAGTGTGTGTTTTAGTTTGAGCTGCTATAACAAAGTACCATAAACTGGGTAGTTTGTAAACAACAGAAAGTTATTTTTCATAGTTTGGGAGGCTAGAATTCTGAGATCAGCGTGCCAGTATGGTTGGGTTCTGATGAGGGTCCTCTTCTGGGTTGCATACTGCTGATATCTTGTATCCTTACATGGAGCCAAGAGAGCGAGACAGCTCTCTGGAGTCCCTTTTATAAGGGCACTAATTCCATTCACGAGGGCTCATTACCTCCCTAAGACCTCACTCCTAAAACCGTCACATTGAGGGTTAGGATTTCAATATGTGAATTTTGGAGGGATGCAAACATTTAGTGCATAACAATATAGTTTTTAAAATACAATTTTACTTTCTAGGGCTTTGAAGGAAGTATTTACAAATCTGTTTATGAGAGGTTTCAGTCATTATGACCGTCAGCTTAGAAATGACATATTAGTGATCACTACAATTATAGCTCAAAATCCTGAAGCACCAATGATTGTAAGTATGAATCAAATTACATTAATTTTAATTGTGGAAGTGGTGGGTGTGGGTGAAAGAAGTCCTATATTATGTTGTAATATTTGTGTATTTTGTTGTAATGCTAAGTTATGCTGTAATATCATGATGGTCACCAGTATGCTTATCACTCTGCCAATTCTTCTTTGCAATCCTTTGGAAATTTGGAATCTTCCTCATATTGTGTGATTTATACATGTATTTACCACTTATGCTTTTCTTTCCTTCTTGATGATTCGAGTTTCCATCTGGCATCATTTCTCTTTCACTGGAAGAACTTTGTTTACAATTTCTTGTGGTGCAAATCTGCTGGCTGCTGGCAACAAATTATCTTAGTTTTCTTTTTATCTGAAAATATATTTAATTTATCTTAATTCTTAAAGTCTATGCTCATTGAATATAGAACTCTAGGCTGAAAAGTTTTTGTTTAGCGTTTCAAAGATAAAGTTCTACTGTCTTCTGGAGTCTGTTGTTTCTGATGAGAAATATTCGGTGTGAGGTTCCGTGGTGTAACAGTGACTGGACTCTGATGAGAAGTATTCATAATTTCAAATCATTATTCCCCTATGTATAATGTATCATCTTTTTCTCTCACTGTTTTCAAGATTTTCACTCTATCTTTGGTTTTCAGCAGTTTCGAAATGATGTGCTAAGGTGAGATCTCCTTTATATTTGTTCTGCTTAGGTTTCATAGAGCTTCTTGGAGATATAAATTTAAGTCTTTAATAAGATTTGGAGAACCCTTGGCCATTATTTCTTCAAATATTTTTTCAGTCCCATTCTCTCTCCCCACTTCTTCAGGGACTCTGATTACTTTTATGTTTGACTTTTTGATATTGTCCCACAGGTTTGTGAGGCTCTGCTCACTTTTTTCAATCATTTCTCTCTCTATTCTTCAGGTTGGATAATTTGTATTAGTCTATATATTTAAATTCATTGACTTTTTTATTTCTGTCGTCTCCATTCTGCTGTTAATCTCATCCATCGCATTTTTACTTCAGATTTATTTTTTAGTTTTAGAATTTATTTTGATTCCTTTTTATAGTGTCTCTCCTGAGAGTTCTTGTCTTTCTATTCATTATGAGCATCTTTACTGTAGATTCTGGTATACTCCTCTGATGAATTTTTAATAACTATACATTTAACTTGGCTGTACTCATCCCTTTGAGGTATGGCATTCCAAATCTCAATTCAGTTCTTGCCTGAGATGCTTGAGTGTTCACTGCACTTGTGTGGTTCAGACATCAGCCAGATATTTGGGAAGAGTTTGTACACAGAATTTAGCATTCTCTCTCTCTGGCTCTCTCCTTTGTGGGATTTCTCCCTTCACTTTCTAGTATCTGTGGTTGTCTCTGTCTTCTGGTTCTTCAGGCCACTAAGACCACAGGGTCACTCTGAGTTTTAGCATTCCCACGAGGTATAGAATATGGCCTGCTCTCAGGTCAAAAGCCTTTTTTTTTTTTTTCTGAGATGGAGTCTTGCTCTGTCACCCAGGCTGGAGTGCAGTGGTGCGATCTCAGCTCACTGCAAGCTCTGCCTCCTGGGTTCACACCATTCTCCTGCCTCAGCCTCCTGAGTAGCTGGGACTACAGGCGCCTGCCACCACATCGGGCTAATTTTTTTGTATTTTTAGTAGAGACAGGGTTTCACTGTGTTAGCCAGATGGTCTCGATCTCCTGACCTCATGATCTGCCCACCTTGGCCATCCAAAGTGCTGGGATTACAGGCGTGAGCCACCACCCAGCCCCAAAAGCCTTTTTTAAAATGGGAAACATTTGGTACCATTCCCTTCTACAAAATTCTGACATCCCTCCAGTGTCTGCTTACTCTTGGTCACGCGATAGTTTTATTTGTCACCAGCAGGAGAATTTCTCTCGGAGCTACTACTCATCTGTACCAGAAGCTGAGCCTTCACATATTTTTTAATTAAAAATCATTGAATGATTGAAATTATTTAATAGAGATCCTTGGCAACAAGATTCACAAGTCAGGCATGTAAGTTCTAGTTGTGCTACAAAGAACTGGCTATGAAGACCTCAGCCCACTAACAGTGGACTTCAAGTAGTCCCAATATAAGAGTCATGGAATTCATACTGTGCAAATAAGAAAACAGTCCTACATAGTATCCTAGTTAAAGCTGCGACTTATAGGTGAAACTTTGTTTCTCTAGAAGCCCCTGTTCAGTTATAGTAATTTCTCATTAGTGTCCTTGCAAACATTCAGATGAATTTCATGAATACAAGTCAAAGGAAATAATATCATCAGCATCTAAAGAAACCATATAGATCCTAAAGTAATGGGGCTATAAAACTACAAGCTCGTAAGCCCAGGGTTTGCCCCTGTAAACTCTCCCTAATGTGCAAAGTCCAACTAGGATATCTCTGCCAGGAATGCTGACATGCTAAAATGTTTGCAACTCTGGTGATTCTTCAGGGCTTTTCATGCTAAGTAGGAACTACTTTATTATCTCTCGACCAAACATTTGACATAACAAGAATGGTTGGGGTAGAAGTGGAGGTGTTTAAGAGGAAAGACTGTTGAGAGTAACTGGATTTTCCTCCCTTACTGTGTCATTTGAAGTATAGATAATGAATTATAGAAGTAACTATGAAGACCTAATATACTCTGGATCCTTAACAATTTTAAACAGACTATTCATAGAATAATATAAAATATTTCTTAGAACCTACAGAAGTAAGTTTAAAATTAAATAAATCTGGCTTATTTAATTTTAAATAAGCTTATCTGGCTATATGTTTTTATTTTTTGCTTCACCCTTTATTACTATTCATGCTTTAGGAATTCAAATGAATGACAGTAGGATAATTTGATAAATGTACATAAGTATTAAATATGAGCGTGTGCATCATAACTTGCATCTTATTCATTCATCTTTCTGCTTATTTTATGTATTTGTATTAGGAATGTGGCTTTGCCAAGGATTTGATACTGTTTGCCACCTTTAATGAAGGTAAAAAACATAAAACTTTCAACTTCTTATAATTATCTTGATGAGTCTTGTACAACATTTAAGCTTTCATTTTACTTTTTTTCCCTCACAGTTAAAAGTCAAAATCTTTTGGTAAAAGGACTTAAGCTTTCTAATTCCTATGAAGATTTTGAGTTGAAGAAATTACTATTCAATGTAATTGTGATCTTATGTAAAGATTTACCTACTGTACAGGTAAAGAGTAATCAAGGCAGGAAAATCAATAAAAATTGTCTCACTTTATAGTATAACTATTTTAAAGTCCTGACTGTAAATCTTTTATCAATTCATATATTTACCATAGAAAGTAGTAAAATCTTACTGACCTGAATTTTAGCTTTAAAAATTTTTCTTTGCTTATCTGTTAGTAAACAGTGAAGTACTTAAATGTAAACTACATAAACCAAAGAAAAATAGTAGAACCTAAGAGAGTTAATGATACAGTTAGATCTCTTGAATTAGACAGCATAAAATGAAAGAAACTTCACATAGGCCCATCCAGCCTAATAATCTGTCTCTGACCATAGTAACAAGGACTGATTTAATGCTGGAGAAAATCATTAACCTCTGTGATGCCAATCTCAAACTCTTATGAACCTGTTTTTTCAACACACAAATCTAGTGTCTTTAATTACTTTTATTCTCTATGAATCCATCTTAATACTTTGTTTCCTGCATAACAGCGTGATGTAATTTGAAGAACATTGGAACTGAATTTCACTTCTGGCTTATCACCTACAAGCTACATGGCCTTAGCAAAATTACCTCATCTATCTGTGGTTCATTTCCTCCTTCTGTAAAGGAAAGATTATAATGCTTCGGCCCTGCTCACAGGTCTATTGTGAAGTTGAGATGAAGGTTTTTTAAACTATAAAGTGATAGTAAATGTATTATTAACAGTTCTGTTAGTTTAGTTAGTTGCTGCATTACGTGAAATTTCCTTCTAGTCTAAAACTCTACCAAATTCCAACGATTACCATAAAAAAGTAGGAATTCAGTCTATCAACTTCACCACCAATAATATAAAGATGGGATAGTCTAGCAGTAAAGGCTTTATAGTCAGACAGAATCTCAGTGCTATCGCTTTCTAGTTATGTGGCATTGAATGGGTTGTTTGGTTTCTCTAAATCTCAGGTAGCTCAACTTCAACATGGGGATAACACCTACCTCGAGATTATTATGAGGATTTAACTGAGCTGAGCATTTTCTTAGTAATGCAACTTTAAGGAATATATATATTTTCAAATGCTCAGGAAAAGAAAAATTGTCTTTACAATTATAACTTTGTTATTTGTGACAAAAAAAATACATATTGTGCAGAACCTAAGTGCATTTTCCAAAATGCAAATGGAAAATCATTTGGAAAATTATTCCATAAAGTATGATTTATTATTCCGATAGAGTATTATATAAATTTTAAAATTAGACCTATAAAGATAATAAAATTTGCACTACAGTTTATAAATCAATTCTAATTGATTGAACAACATTTTATAGACAACAGAGCCAAGTAGCACAGATTATGGTGACGAGCTTCTTAAAACACTTTGTGAGCAGTGAAATCAACAATTTTTATATGTCACATAATTTGTGGTCCAGTAATATTACTAGTAATGATAATGAATATGTACACTATCATTTGCAATACACAGGATTTTTTTTTGAAACATCATATACTTAAATCTAACAATAATGTTAGAACTAGTAGTTATTCCTGTTTTCTCAACCCTAAATCTTGCATTCTTTTCACATGGAGTAGTAGGGAATTAGAAAAATTAATTATTTTTGTGAAAATCTTTCTAGAACAATGCTAAATTAAAAGAAAATTAAATATAGCATATGGGATTTTATTCTCTTGTGAATCATAAATATGCATCCATCAGAATCAGCTGTATTAATTCTGTTGTCATAATAGCTATGCATTTTAATCTTATTTTTATTAAAATGATGGGTTCAATAAAATTTTAAAGTACTAGGCATGTAATGAAACATGGCTTATGACCTAACTGACATTTATTTGGTAGAATGTTTATGTAAGTTCTGTTGCATGTAGTTAAATATTCACTTAGTCATTACCTCAGACAAAATTGTTTTTTATGGTACACAACTGAGTCTGTGAGATATTTCCTTTTTAAAAAGAGAGTAAGGAAAGAAATGTCAGCACTTACCCCAAAATATTCTACTCCTGTGGTTTTATTATAAGCAGGAACTAAATTACATATATGAGCAGCAGAAACAAAAAATTAACACATATTTTATGTTATTGTCAGAGAGCACATACCTCAGAAAAGAGGATTATAACCATTATTAAATTTTTGTTTTTTTATTATTTTTTTTGGTACCTATCATAGATTGGGATTATTTTATAAAGGAATTATTTTGAAATAATCCTCAATAAAACATCAAAATATAAATTTTTAATTTAATTGCCTTAAAGTATTTTTAGCTATGTTTCTAACAAAGTATCCTTTGTTCTTTCTCACAGCTATTAATTGATGGCAAAGTTATTTTGGCTTTGTTTACCTATGTTAAGAAGCCTGAGAAACAAAAAATAATGGACTGGTCTGCAGCACAGCATGAAGAATTACAACTGCATGCAATTGCCACTTTGTCGTCAGTGGCTCCTTTATTAATAGAAGAATACATGTCATGCCAGGGAAATGCTCGAGTCCTTGCATTTCTAGAATGGTGTGAGAGTGAAGGTGAGTGGCCCTTCAAGATTCTTGTCAAAATTTTAATCTTCATATTTCAACTGAATGCTCAATATATGCATACAAATAACAATGAAATTAATTAAAGCTATGAGAAGTAAAAACATATAGACCTGTCTTCTTAATGTATTTATATGTTGTTTTAAGAAAAACACAGATTTGATTTAAAGTCAGACATTAGTAAACCTCATAGTTGATGCACACCTGAAAGAAATCATACATGTAATTTAAATTTTTGTATTATTAGACGTATCTAAAAATTATATTTGGGAAGAAAATAAATCCTGGCAATATTTTATTTGCTTTGTTTGTTTGTTGAGACGGGGTCTCACCCTGTCACCCAGGCTACAGTGCAATGGCATGCTGATGGCTCACTGCAGCCTCAACCTCCTGGGCTCTAGCGATCCTCCCACCCCAGCCTTCCCAGTAGCTGGGACTACAAGTGCATGCCACCACGCGAAGCTAATTTTTGTATTTCCTGTAGACAGGGCTTTGCCATGTTGCCCAGGCTGGTCTCAAACTCCTGGGTTCAAGCCATCTGCCTACTTCGGCCTCTCACAGTGTTGCGAATACAGGCGTGAGCCTGAAATCAATTACGATATTGCCCAGTCTGGCTGTATTATAATACATTCATTCAGCAAATATTTATGACTGCCTACTGGGTACTAGATACTGTCTTAACTACTGAAAATACAGTTAGGCTTTAAATAAATAAACATCATTTTCTCTATGGAGCTTAAAATCTAGACCTCTAGCCAGAAGTAATGACTCCAATGTAGTCTATCAAATTAGTAGAGCCCCAATTTGTTTGTATTTTGTTTCAGTTCTTAGAGAGGAAATAAGAAATACATTCATTTTTTAATAAAGTTTTATAAGGAAGATATTGCTTCTTTTCTGGTAGTAAATTTGCTCTGGAAATAATCTTGTATGATGCATTTTCATTAGATCAAGAATATCACCCATTTATGCATGAAGGAGGAAAAAAAAGATAGCCTTTTTATTCTCTAGTTTCTAATACGCTGAGATACTAAATTTAGTCTTGTAAAATTATTTTCCACTAAATGAAGCAAGTCTTCAGTCTATCCTTTATATCATTTATGTTTGTAGAAAACTTTAAGGCAAAAGGAGAAATGCTGGCTAATAAGAGAAAGACTGATAGCTAATAGTTTTTCAGAACCTACTATCTGGTGAGCCTTAAACACCTTCCAAGTATTAAGTCATTTTAATCCTCTCAACAAACCTAGGAGGTATAGGTACTATTATTATCCCTGTGTATCAGATGGGTAGAACTCAGTCTAAAAAGCTAAATAATTATTCCTGGCCACAAGTGGCAGAGCAAAAATTTAACCGAGGTTCTATAATAGAACCCACAATTGTAACCAACATTCTATACTTAGAACAGTATTTTCAACTTTTTTTTTTTTTTAGCTGGAAACATAAAGCTACTTCTAAAAGAAGCTTTTAAAGAAAGCATAGCATAAAGAAGGGAGGATTTGCCTTGCTACTTATCAAGACCTATAAAGCTATAGTAATTAAAATTATGTGGTACTGGGTCATGGATAGACCAATGGCATGGAATATATGGAAGGTTGGCATTATGAGAGATGATACTGCCAATCAGTGAGGGAAGGGTGGTGTTGAGGCAGTTGGTCCTCCATGTGAAAAAATAAAAATTAGACCTCTTCACTTTGTTTTTTCTAAAAATCAATTGCAAAAGTAATAAAGATGTAAATATGAAAAGGCATACAGTGAAGTGGAACTCTTAGAAGAAAACATGGGAAAATATCTTTTTGCTAGATATCAGCATAGGAAAGGTTTCTTTAAAAATACTCATGAGTTTAACGTATAAGAAAAGATCGATGCATTTAACTACTGTAAAACGTACAAATGTCTGTTTGACAAAATCTAAGTGAAATACTAATTTACAAATTGAGAGATGACATTTACTACCCCGTGACTGATAGTAGATTAGAATCCAGGTTCATAAAGAACTCCTATATATCAACAAGAAAACAACTCAGTAGAGAAGTATACAAAGACTAGGAACTGCCATGTCACAGAGAAAAGCCCACATTTTCAAAAACCATTTTAAAACTCTCAATCCCAAAGCAATCAGGTAAGTGCAAATTAACAACAATGAACTACCATTTCACATTTAACAGATTTCATGGGGGAAAATCAAGGCCAGGTGCAGTAGCTCACACCTGTAATCCCGACACTTTGAGAGGTCAAGGCAGGAGGATCACTTGAGGCCAGAAGTTCAAGACCAGCCTGGGCAACATGGTGAGACCCCATCTCTTAAAAAAAAAATCAGCTGGTCATGGTGGCACACACCTGTAGTCCTAGCTTCTTGGGGGGCTAAGGTGGGAGTATCACTTGAACCCAGAAGACTGAGGCTACAATGAGCTGTTATCATACCGTTGCCCTCTAGCCTAGGCAACAGAGCAAGACCCTGTCTCTTAAATTGGCCGGGCGCGGTGGCTCAAGCCTGTAATCCCAGCACTTTGGGAGGCCGAGACGGGCGGATCACGAGGTCAGGAGATCGAGACCATCCTGGCTAACCCGGTGAAACCCCGTCTCTACTAAAAAAATACAAAAATCTAGCCGGGCGAGGTGGCGGGCGCCTGTAGTCCCAGCTACTCGGGAGGCTGAGGCAGGAGAATGGCGTGAACCCGGGAGGCGGAGCTTGCAGTGAGCTGAGATCTGGCCACTGCACTCCAGCCTGGGCGACAGAGCGAAACTCCGCCTCAGAAAAAAAAAAAAAAAAAAAAAAAAAAAAAAAAAAGAAAAATTAACTCATCTTATACATTGTATCTTTAGTAAAATTCAGTGTGGATGTATCCTATATTATTCTGGTCACATGGAAAAATTCTTCTCGATGAATATAAGAGGATATGAACCAGAATGTTTATTGTAACAATTTATACTAGCGAATGGATAAACTATAATTCATTTATTGAAATGAACACTGAAACCAATTAAAATGAATAATCTAGATCTACTTGTGACAATGTGAATAATTTTTAAAATAAACATGTTGAGTAACAAAAGCAAATTACAAAAGATACATATAATATGATACATTTGAGTAAAATTCTAAAACACCTACTTCTGAGAATAAGAGGGAAAAGGGATATTTTATTTCTCTAAAAAAACTAAAGCAAATATGACAAAATTTTAACATTTGTTTAAAGTTTTGATAGATGTATAAGATATCTGATGTATTTGTTTTATTTGAAATGTTTTTGTTTTAAACTATCAATTTTTCTCCACAGATCCGTTTTTCAGTCATGGTAACAGTTTTCATGGTACAGGTGGCCGAGGCAACAAGTTTGCCCAGATGCGTTACAGTTTAAGACTCCTGAGAGCCATGGTCTACCTCGAAGATGAGACTGTAAACACAGATCTTTGTGAAAAGGGAACAATTCAGCAAATGATAGGTAAAATATAATGTGATGGTTTACTGATGAAAGAGAAATATTTTTAATAATAGTAGTTTTGTTTGAAATGTTTTTCCAAAATTTATTTTGTCTTTATGACTGAGAAACTCCTGAATATTTTCTTGATTTTTGTTTCATATTGTTGCTATAAATCAGTGTGTCTTCTTATTGAAATATTATACTCATTAACGCTTTAAACATTTATTTCTTCAACTCAGATATCATTTCATTTAGGATTATCTTTATCTTTTTTTTAAAATGGGCTATTGTTATGTTTTATTCTTTTTGTAATAAAGGTCACCACTTTTGGCCAAGCCTTATTGGAACTATTTTAAAACAGGATAACATGGCATGTTCCAATACATGTGTCATAACAGAACATTGGTATGTTCGTATTTACAGAAATGTACAGAGGAGTTTCTTTTCTGATATGAAATATCAGAATATCCTTGACTTTCAACTTAACACTTGACTATGCTAGATGAGAAAATAGAAACTATGTATATCATAGAAAGATAGCATGTGTTACCCTATATGTCATCAATTATACACTTAATGAGTTTCCCCTAAAATAAGTACACATAAGTACACATAAACTCATGTGTACTTATTTTAGGGGAAACTCGCCGAGGCGGGTGGATCACGAGGTCAGGAGATCGAGACCATCCTGGCTAACACCGTGAAACCCCGTCTCTACTAAAAATACAAAAACCTAGCCGGGCGTGGTGGCGGGCGCCTGTAGTCCCAGCTACTCGGAGGCTGAGGCAGGAGAATGGCGTGAACCCGGGAGGCGGAGCTTGCAGTGAGCCGAGATCGCGCCACTGCACTCCAGCCTGGGTGACACAGCGAGACTCCGTCTCAAAAAAAAAAAAAATAAGTACACATAAACTCAGTGTAGAATTCAGAACCCCTAAACAAAAGCTGCTTTGTCTTTTGCTATTTAAAAAATAAATAGTTCTCTAGATTATACCTTTCCTTGACTGAAAAGAGCTATTTCATTCATATTCAGGCTTTGCTTCAGTAGTCAATTATATAATCTGCTAGATGTCCATTAATTATAAATGTCTACTCAAAAACTATTCTACTTGTTAAATTAAGATGATTACTCTTCCATCATTAGTGGAGTGGTGCTCTCCAATAATAATAATATAGGAAATAACAGGAAATCGAAGTATATTGAAAAGGAGCTAGGTGAAAACATTTACCTTTTTGCCCAGTTTGTTTGGGATGAACAAACCTGAAAGTACATTTTCTCATTCCTGTGCACATTCTGTTGTACAAAACTCAGTCTAACCAGAGGAAATACAGGACATGTAATCTTTCATATGTCTAGGAAGAATTATTAATCCCACCTGCACTAGGGAATAGGGTAGGGAAAAGGGAAAACAAATAGCAGTGGTTTTTTTCTTCTTAAAACCTTTTCCCTTTAACTGGAAAGAAGCTGATCTTTATGTTAAGTTCTTAGAGGCAGAGACCTTGTCTTATTGAGTCTAACATGGCTTTGTAGTAGTAACGTGCTCAATAAGTAGTAACTAGATTTTAAATGTAAATGTTTATATCCTTCCTGGGTACAGTGTACACTGCAGTGATGGGTGCACCAATGTCTCAGAAACCACCAATAAAGAACTTATCCATGTAACCAAAAACCACCTGTTCCCCCAAAAGCTATTGAAATAAAACATAAATGTTTTATTTCCTGTGTAGACACTGGGGTTACAAACATGTATAGAGCAGGACACTGAGGACCTTTTCCTTAATGAGAAAATAGAAACTATGTATATCATAGAAAGATAGCATGTGTTATCCTACACGTCATCAATTAGACACTTAATGAGTAGTACAGAGTAAATGTTACAGAAACTAAGAGGCTTGAGTAGTTTTCAAGGCTAGGAAGTCTTAGGATTCTGTGAGATCAGTGTAGTTTAGAGGTGGAAAAGAAGTGATGGCCCTCAAGCAAGGAAATACCATGAACAGAGAGACATGGTCCTGAAATATGCATGATGATGTGTTCAGAGCTAGTTTAAGAGGAGCCAAAGTTTTATGAAGATAACCCAAGACAGGTTAACTGTATAGTCAGAGGCCAAGACAGAATGAGTTTTGAGTGATTGACAGTAGTTCGAACTTCATCCTCTTAAGGCATGGAGAGCCTTAAAGGGTTTTGATTAGTGAGGATATATGCACAATGTTGTGTTTTAGGAAGAAGAATCTGGGAGAAATAGAATGATCTATAACAAGGAGAGAATAAAGGCAAGGAGTTGAAAGGTACATAAATATAAGCATTATACTATGAGTTACAGGCAGCAGAGAAAGTTTCTCCCTGCACCCAGGTCAGAAGAAGAATGAGATGATCTAGAAAGAAGAAGCAGACATATGTCCAGTCAAATTGGATTCCCAGAAGATATTCCTGATAAAGTGATATAGGCCCCTCTATCCGTGGCATACCCCAGCACTGGGTCTCCAGCAGGCTCAACTAGCCTCTCTTAGGGTCTGATCCCCCACCTGTAATTCATCTAATGGGACCTAGAATAGTCGCTGAGGCCAGTTAGGGAAATAGGCTATTATTTCCATGGCCCTTCTGCTTTGGAACATAGCTCCATACTTTCCCATTAATGCCAGTTACCCCTTTAACAGAGAAAAAGTGACTTTTTTTCTTTATTTAAAGCTTAAAAAATCCTTTTTGGGGCAAAAGTGTATCATGAATATCATTTCATCAGTGTTAGTGGCCATCTTCAGTCCTTTTCAATTTCAATTACAAGCAAAAGAGGGATTTTAAAGGACATGGAATACTGTTACCTAAAGTTGTTTAAAACACCTTCAGTTAGACATCAAGGAAAGACACAGAAAGCAATAACAGGAGTAGAAAGCGCACCTAAAGAGATCTGCCGCCTTTGCCTAGAATTGACCCTGTTAACCATGAGGAGAAGAAGAGATTAGGCAAACCACAGTCAGGAAATTTAGTTATATATTTGCAAAGGCACTCATTTCCTACCTCATGAAATGCTGCATATTTTTAAACACAGTTTGCTGCGCAAAGTGTCCGGTTATTGGGGCATCCTTTAATGACATACTATTAATTCTGTACTAGAATTTCTATATATGTGAGGCTGTGGATTATACTGAGAAATTCTGTATATGTAGGTAGGGCTACTGATTGTATTGAAAGCTCCAGGAATTCATTTATCATCTTCTTTTCACAGCCTCTAGGTTACTATGCAATGAAAATATCCTCTTCTAAAATAGTTTTTCTAGGCTGGGCATGGTGGTGCACACCCGTAAGTAATCCCAACACTTTGCGACGCCGAGACAGGAGGATTACTTGAGCCGAGGAATTCAAGACTAGCCTGGGCAACATAATGAGACCCTGTCTCTTTATAACAAATAAGAATAAATAAGTAAATAAAATAAAAGTTTCTCTAGCCAAAGAAACTTTTTAGAAGAGATTTCCTAAAAGTAATTGATCAAAATAAAAGTAGTGTCCAATAACTATACATTCTTTGAACATTTTCATACCAGGAATCTTTAAAAATATAATAAGCAAGCCTAATGAAAAGGAAGAAGCCATTGTTTTGGAAATCCAGTCAGATATTTTACTTATCCTATCTGGTCTTTGTGAGAATCACATTCAAAGGAAGGTATGTATGCTTGTGAAAGTTTTGTTCAGGTCTCCCAGTCACCTAACACTATAAACTGTTTTTGGAAGTTTCTATAATTGTATTTAATTTTGTGAAAATTTAATATTTTTGTTAATAATTAGAGCATAATTATATAAAGTAAAAGGTAAAAAATATACAACAGTATACACCCATTTAACTAATACCCCCAATTAAAACAGAGAATATTTCTATGTCTATAAAATTTCCTCATCCCATTAGAAACCATGCCCCTGCTCACTTCGACAAACTACTATTCTGTTTTCTATTCCTAAAGGTTGGTTTTGCCTATTCTTTAAGTTTATATTAATGGAATCGCACAATATTTACTCTTTTATTCTGGATTCTGTCATCCAGCATCATATTTTAGAAATATACCCGTGTTGACCGGGCATGGTGGCTCAGGCCTGTAATCTCAGCACTCAGGGAGGCTGAGGCAGATGGATTGCCTGAGGTCAGGAATTCGAGACCAGCCTAGCCAACATGGCGAAACTTCATATCTACTAAAAATACAAAAATTAGCCAGGCGTTGTGGTGCATGTCTATAATCCCAGTTACTCAGGAGGCTGAGGCACGAGAATTGCTTGAATCTAGAAGGTTACTGTGAGCCCAGCTCTCACCACTGCACTCCAGCCTGGGTGACAGAGCGAGACTCCAAAGCAAAAAAAAAAGAAAGAGAGAAAGAGAGGGACAAAAAGAAATTCATGTCATTGCATGTATCAATAATTCATTTCTTTTTATTGCTAAATTGTATTCCATTGTGTGAATATACCAAAATTTGTTTATCTGTTCCCCTATTGATAGGTAGGCACTTGGGTTGTTTTTATTTACAGCTATAATGAATAAAGCCTGAGTGAATATTCTTGTGCTAGTCTTGTACTGCTGGGTATAATGCTTTCATTTATCTTGTGTAAGTATCTACAATTGGAATTGATGTATCATAAAGTAGGTGTGTCTTTATAAGAAGCTGCCAAAGAGTTTTCCAAAGTGGGCTGTACCATTTTAAATGTTGTTTGGGGTTTGAATTGGGTTCAAGCCTAAAGCCAAAAGTTAGAACAAGATCTTAATCCCCTTTTATCTTTTGTAGCTCCATAGTGAACTATGAGGCTCAGAGATTGATAATTTAAATATTAAATAGCAAGGGATGGAATTATAAATATAAAAACAAAAAAATGATGGTTTCAGTAGATAGATTTTGAGTGAATGCCTGTTTAGCTCCAAGCTTTGATGCAACTTCTCATCGTATTCTACCACCCTGTGCCTGGGCTCCTCTGGAAAAATAATCATAATCTTGCTTACTGGGAACCAGAACTGAACATAAAGGCAATGAGAAAGGTAATTAGTAAGAGAAAAATATTAAGTGGTTAAAACTTCGCATAAATTATTAAAGGTTTTAACTACATTTATAGCCTATTTCTCTCTTGGGGTCATTAGAAAATCTTGCATGATAATTCTTAGGGTCATTAGAAAATCTTGCATGATAATTCTTACTATCTAAGAATCAATCTGACATAATGCTAGACTGCAGTCATTATAATGTTGAAGAAAATCAAAGTGCAAGTTTTATGACTTTTTTTAGGAGAAAGGGAATAAAACAAAAAGTATCAAGGGATATTATTAAGCTGGCATGTTGATTGATGCCCCCTCTTAAAATGATTAGTTTTATAATAATTTATTTTAAATTCCTGAAAATAAGTAAGTACAGTTTTTTAAATTGTGGTAAAAATAGTTTTTTTCTAACAATGTTGCTGTATTTCTCTGGTAAAAAAGCAATTTTAGGGGACAGATGAAGTAGGAAAGGGAGGAATTATTTATTTAAGAAATAATTTAAAACAAATTATCTTAAACAGGAAATTTTCGGAACCGAAGGAGTAGATATAGTTCTTCATGTGATGAAAACAGACCCCAGGAAGTTACAGAGTGGCTTAGGGTATAATGTACTTCTTTTTAGTACATTGGACAGCATTTGGTGAGTATTACTGTACTCAAATTAAGTAGACTCACAGCAGTCATGCATCACTTTATAACAGTGAGGATACATTCTGAGAAATGTTTCCTTAGGCAATTTCATCTTATGCAAACATTATAGGGTGTAGTTACACAAACATAGATGGTATAGCCTACTACACACGTAGGCTAGATGGTATAGCCTACTATATACTTAGGCTAGATGGTATAACCTAAAGGCTACAAACTGTATGTCATGTTACTGTACTGAAGATTGTAGGCAACTGTAACACAATGGTAAGTATTTGTGTATCTAAACATGCCTAAACATTTAAAAAGGTACAGTAAGACTATAGAATAAAAGATTTTTAAAAATTCATATAGTTGTTTAGGGCACTTATAAATGGAGCTTGCAGTACCAGTTGCTATGAGTGAGTCAGTGAGTGAATGGTGAATGAATGTGAAGGCCTAGGACTTTATTATACATTACTATAGACTTTATCAACAGTCTACACTTAGATTACACTAAACTTATTTTTAAAATATTTTTCTTTTCTCAATAAATTAACCTTAGCTTACTGTAATTTTTTTTACTTTATAGATGTTTTAATTTTCTTTAAGTTTTTGGCTCTTTCGTAATAGCATTTAGCTTAAAATACAAATACATTGTATAGCCATACAAAAAATATTTTCTTTCTCGATATTTTTTATTCTATAAGTTTCTTCTGTTTTTAAAAACATTGCATTGTTTTTACTTGTTAAATATTTTGTTAAAAACTAAGATTCAAACACAAATTAGTCTAGGCTTATGAAAAAATTATTTCTGTGCATATATTTTATTAAACATGCATAGATATTTCTGTCCAGTATACACCTAGATGTAAAAATGGCTAGCTAGATCTGGGCATTTTTATGTCTGTTCAACTTTCGGAGATAATACCAAAAAATTTTCCGAAGTACTTACATCTTTTACACCTTTCCCAGTAGTGTGGAGGTTTCTCCTTGCTCCACACCCTTACCAACACATTGCATTATATCTTTCATTGCCGCCATTCTTGTGGACTTGTGCCAGTGTCTCTTTGTAGTTTTAATTTTCATATTTCTGATTGCTAGTGAGTTCATTTGCCATTTGAATAGCCTCTTTTTTGTGAAATCCCTACTCAAGTCTCTTGCTCACTTTTCTACTGAATTACCTATTGTTTTTTACAGAGTTCTTTATATGTTCTGGACATGAGCCTTTTTCTGTTATATGTTTGTCAAATATATTCTGCCACTCTGAGGCTTACATTTTTCACTCTCCTCACTCTCTTTTTGTTGAACCAATAGTCTTAATTTCAGTGTGGTCTAATTTTCCAGTCTTTTTTTATCATCAGTACTTATAGTGCCCTGTTTAAATAGTCTTTTCTTACCCCATAGTCATGAAGATCACTGCCTATATTTCTTCTAGAAGCTTTATTGTTTTTGCCCTTTACATTTAGACCTACAATCTACCTGGAATTGATTGGAATGTATGGTGTAAGGTGAGGTACAAGTTTTCCTTTTTTTGTGTGGATGTAATTCAATGCTGTTTTTGGATAAACCATCCTTTACCCACTGCTTTGCAGTACCTTCTTTGTACAAATCAAATGTCCATATATATCTGGATCTATTTCTAGGCTTTCTGTACTGTTCCACTGGTCTTTTGTCTATCTTTTTGTAATGTGCTATTTTAATAATTAGGTCTTTTTAATAAGTCTAGACATCTGGTAGAGTAAATCTTTCTACTTTTTCTTTCTCCATTAAAATTGTCTTAGCTTTTGCTGACGCCTTGCATTTGGATATTATATTAGTCAAGGTTCCCTAGAGAGACAGAACCAGTAGGAAAAAACATAGAGAGAGATTGAGATTTATTATAAGGAATTGGCTCACACAATTATGAAGACTGAAAAGTCCCAAGAACTACCGTCGGCAAGTGGAATACCCAGGAGTACCGATGGTGTAGTTTCCAGTCTGAGACTGAAGGCCCAAAGACCAGAAAACCCGGTGGTCTAAGTGCCAATCTGAAAGCTGGATGCTTGAAGCACAAGAAAAGCAAATATATCCGTATGAGTCTGAAAGCCTGAGTCCGAGGTCAGCAGTCAGGCAGAGGAGTTCCTTCTTACTCAGCCTTTACATTCTGTTTCTATCTTCAGTTGCTTGCATAAGGCCCACCCACATTAGTAAGGGCAGGCTACCTTATTCAGTTTACTGATTAAAATGTTAATGACATACAGAAACAGTTTCACAGACACATCCAGAATAATGTTTGCCCAAATCTCTGGCCACCCCAGGGGTAAAACCTGGGACCACCTGAATGGGAGGAGGAAAGCTGATGGCATTTTATATACCAGCCTCTACCCGACTCCTACTGTCTACACACCATGATGAAACAGGCAGTAGAAACAATGTCTTTTCTTTTTTTTCAAGAGGAAGCTATGTTTAGAAAGGGAACACAAGAAAGTGACCACAGCAGGCTTGCAATTTCTGGGAGGAACTGAGAATAGTATCTGTTGCTACCACCAGTGACAGCTTGTTCAGTCCACATTCCCTATCAGGAAAAAAAGTGTAAGTAGCCCCAGCAGCAGCTTTAACCCCTGATTCCATGTGAGCTGCGCAAACCAAAGTAGGCACTTTAACAAATTGTTACAGGAAAGGGGTCCTGATCCAGACCGAAAGAGAGGGTTCTTGGATCACACACAGGAAAGAATTCAGGGTGAGTCCGAAGGATAAAGGGAAAGCAAGTTAATTAGGAAAGTAAAGCAATAAAAGAATGGTTACTCCATAATCAGAGCAGTGCTGAGGGTTGCTGGTTTCCCATTTGTATGGTTATTTCTTGATGACATGCCAAACACAGGGTAGATTATTCATGCCTCCCCTTTATAGACCATATAAGGTAACTTCCTGATGTTGCTGTGGCATTTGTAAACTGCCATTGCACTGGTGGGAATGTAGCAGTGAGAACAAGCAGAGGTCACTTGCATCACCATCTTGGTTTTGGTGAGTTTTACCTGGCTTATTCACTGCAACCTGTTTTATCCCCAAGGTCTTCATGACCAGTATTTTTTGTGACCTCCTATCTCATCCTGTGACTTAGAATGCCTTAACCATCTGGGAATGCAGCACAGTAGGTCTCAGCTTCATTTTACCCAGCTCCTATTCAAGATGGAGTTGCTCTGGTTCAAATGCATCTAACATTTTCCCCATCCCTTTTGTAAGAGAAGCCTTAATCCTAAGGGTTGCAGAGGGTTGAAGATCCATCTTCTGTAACACCTTCAGGCTGAAGAGGGGTGATAATATTCCTGCCTATCTATTACGGTTTCTTGTGTTCAGGGTACAGGGAGCTCAGTCAGAAAGCATCGGTATGTCGAGGATCATTCATAACTCCTGAGTTCTGACAAAAGCAATATCTGAAAGATTAATAATTGAATATTAGTTGTTGATTAATATTGACAAAATTGAATAGAATATTGATTCAGGTTTTCACATTATCTAGCCCTCTTGTTTCTTCTGAGCAGCAGTCAGAGATCACTGGTGGGTTCCCAGGAATGAGCAGCGTTAGTCTAAATTGTGGAAACAAACTTGAAAACAGCTGATGAGACTAGAATCTTATAACAGGTGTACCATAGTTCTTGAAACATATTTCTCTCTCCAGTTTCCCATTTATCCTAAAGACAAATGATGGTAAGACCAATTTGCTTTATTATACTTGGCCTGATTATTTGTATAAGGTGCAGCAAGAATAATTATTTGCCATATGGGCTATTTGAATTGGCTTTGATGGACCTCTGTTCCATAAGGAATATCAGATAAGACTTTTTTAAAGCCAAGCCCAGCCATGGGTTTGTACCCTCACATACCTAAGAGTTGGGTAATTTCCTCTTCTCATGAGGTCCCAAGATAACTTGGGGTTCCTGTGCCTGTCAAAAAGTGACATTCTTTATTTACCACAGGTCAGGAACCCTATATAGAGACTATAGATAAAGTATCCAGTTTTCCCAAAGGACTTTTATTGGCTTTACACATCAAGTCTGATTCCTCTCAGCACACCATTCTGGTCAAAGCCTTAGTAAAATAACCAGTGTCTCCAATTGTGTCCTGTTGCAAAAGAAAATAGATTCTTATTGCACTTCTTGTTGCAAATATCTATATTGCCATAAATTAAGAATACTCACGAATAGTTGTCAAATTCTGGTGAAATGGGGTAGAGAAAAACAAATATGCTCCAAATTCTGTTCACAGGAGCATACTTTACCTGATTGTTAGAAGCTGTAAATAACTCCAAAGATGAATTGTCTTGACTCTGGGAGGAAAAAAAGGATCAGCAGTGTTTTAAGCAACAAATTAAAAAGATTAGTTTAGTTTAGTCTACACAATTAATTTCTGTTTGATATTCATGAACATTTCAGCTTTCTATGAGAGTTCTGAAAGGTTTTTTCCTCTATTCAGAAGTCACAATCTCCAAAGTTATCAGAAACCTGCATTTAAGAATGCCTGTTACAGTTCTATAGCTGACTATAAATGACCTTTTGAAGAGGATCAGAACAAAACAATTGTTTATGGATGACAAAACATCACACAGTCAAAAACACAATTGACAAAGCAGTTTAGTCACCTAGGTGGCATACAATGATTTTATGTAGTAATTATAACTATTAATGACCTATACTAAGTCATATCAGAATTGTAGGAGTTTCCCATTGTTTTGGAACACATGCCAGTAACACATTTATGTAAATATAGCCCAAAGAAAGCTAAATACTATTTCACATTTGCCAATGCTTCCTATATGATGTTTATACCAAATAAGCCAAATTTTACCTTTACATTAGTGTACTATTTTAAACTCAATTCTTAATAAAACCTTATAGACATATCTACCCAATTTTAATGTTTGAATAATACCCCTTTAATTTTAGCCAAGGCCACACACAGAATTTCTTTTACAATTTTTCACAAACTTGCCCCAACTTGCTTAAACCTTCAGCTTTATCTTATCTAATTGTAAAATATCTTTTAACCCTTTAATCTAGGCAAAAAAAAAAAAAAAAAATCCACATTCCCATGACTTCTTATAATCTTTTGACAAAAACACATTTCACTTTCTTTATACACCTTACATATAAAACTGTTTCTTTAGTAGTCTCAAATACATGTTACACTGTTAACTCTTGGCGACTTTTGCTTTTGGCAAAAAGCTCGGTAAGTTCAGCATTCTAATTATATACTAGGCATGGAGCCTAGGACCCAGACAGAAGTACAGATAAGGTCTGACTCTTTCCAGCATCTTATTCCATGTGTCCCAGGCCTTACCTAGCCATAAAGCAGGCAAGTTACAGTAAGAGTCATAGTGGCATTTTATGAAGCATTAAGGGGGCCTAACGACCTTCAAATTGTACAACATTTCTTGCACAAATTCCCTTTCACTAATCCTTTCACAACTTACATAGACTATGACATGCTTAGACTTTCCAACTTGTCCTAAACATCCCTCTTTTTAAACAACCAGTTGTTTTACCTTAGGACAAGAATCTACCGTACAAGATTGTTTTTTATATAAAATCTGTTTTCTTTATAACGTTCTTTGCATAGCTGGGGGCATGGCTAATTTCACATGTCCCCAGGCCCTATCTACAATCTAATGCTCCTAAATAAATTGAACAATTTTCAAAAGTCAAAGAAGCCACTTATGACCTTAAAGCATTAGGAAAACCTGGTACCTGACCTGCATAATTTATGCCAAATGTTTACATTTTTGAAGATATTTTTGTTTTACCAATAATCTTTATTAAAACTATTTTGATTTCCCAAAGATTACTAAAGTCACATGAACTAAAAGGCATTCTACTTTTTACTTTTGATTTTTTTAATCAAAAAAATGTTTAAGCTCTTATTATTAATAAACTAATTAGAGCTCTTTCATATATAAACATCACACACATAATACATTTAAATACAGAGACATGCAGAAGATAAAGGACTCCTTCCCTAAGCCAGGAATTGAACCCTGAACCTGGGCCGCCACTGTGGAAAGAGAAAGCATGGCCACACGGTTAAACAAGGTCAAGCTCCCAAGGACATACAAGACAAGAGGGAAATCATGTCCAGTTTTAGATTTTTGGGGGACCTGCAGCAAAATTTGTAACTGACCAGTTTGCTGGGCCATCTTGAAAGCAGGTTTACAGGTGCCCTATGATCTCTCCTAAGGTACCCCTCTTTATGACAGAACAATACAGAAAGACAAAGTACACCAGATTGGCTATAGCTTAAGGTTAGGCTTGCAAATCATTTCTTCCATTAGTCAAAACTTTACAGAGGAGACAGTGATTTTACCCTTCATTCAACTGGTTTGCACAGAGGGGAAGGGAAGGGATGAAGGGAAGGGAACATTGCTTGTGGCAGTGTGAGAAATGTGAGGTGCTCAAGGAGGCCAGAGAAAGACCTGCCCGTTGGTGCCAATACTGAATCAAAAGTGCAGCCGGTCGCTTTTAAGTCGAGAAGGGATACTTTCCAGCATTCCCATTTGTTCTCAAGTTTCCCCTTTTAGGGAGGAAAAAGCTCCCTATGTCCCACAGTCCTGTACGTGCCTAATCCTCTCACCCGTAACCATAAGCAAAAAGTGCAAGGCAGATTGTTCCAAAGAGAATAGCAGTTAACATCCCATAGTGCCAAACCCATTCTTAGCCAAAAGGGACTTTACTGAGAGGGGCCTCTAACCCCCTAACTCTTATAAGGGATTCTAACCATCCTATATTGGCCTTCAAACCAGGGTCAGTCAAGTTTCCTTGCTTTTTACTAAGAGGGGCTTTTACCCACTTTGACTTAAGGAGAGATTCTAACTCCCCTAAGTTGACCTCTAACCCAATGCCATCCTTTAGCTGAGTACCCCACCACTTACCCAAGGTCAGCCAACCAGTGCTGCCATCTCTTTCCTTTGGATTGGGGCTGAGGGCTTTCTTCAGTATTGTCCCTTCGGGGCTTGCCAGAAAGATGTCATGAGACCCCAACACTTACCCAATATTAGCCTTTGGGTCAGGGTTTTCTCACTATCGTCCTTCCCATGGTTGCCAGAAGGATGTTACAGGAAAGGGGTCCCAATCCAGACCCCAAGGGAAGGTTCTTGATCAGGTGCAGGAAAGAATTCAGGGCGAGTTCACAGGGTAAAGTGAAAGCAAGTTTATTAGGAAAGTAAAGGAATGAAAGAATGGCTACTCCATAATCAGAGCAGCCCTGAGGACTACTTGTTGCCCATTCGTATGGTTATTTCTTGATGATATACCAAACATGGGGTGGATTATTTATGCGTCCCCTTTATAGTCCATATAGGGTAACATCCTCCTGTTGCCATGGCATTTGTAAACTGTCATTGTGCTGGTGGGAGTGTAGCAGTGAGGATGACCGGAAGTCACTTTTGTCAGCATCTTGGTTTTGGTGGGGTTTAGCTGGCTTCTTTACTGCAACCTATTTTATCCGCAAGGCCTTGATAACCTGTATCTTGTGCTGCACTCCTGTTTCATCCTTTGATTCAGAGTGCCTTAACCTTCTGGAAATGCAGCCCAGTAGGTCTCAGCCTTATTTCACCCAGTCCCTATTCAAGATGGAGTTGCTCTCGTTCAAACACCTCTGACAAAATAATCTCAACTGCAAAGATGAGATATAATCATTATCCAATGTTTGAAGTGCACCAACATCTTGAAACAGCAATGTCGACAAGGCCTGTAAATATTTTACAGAGTTTCATTCTGAGCCCAATATGATTGACCAAGGCCTGAGGTACAGTTTTTTGTTTGTTTGTTTGTTTGTTTTTTAGACAGAGTCTCATTCTGTCACCCAGCCAGTGGCATGATCTCAGCTCACTGCAACCTCCACCTCCTGGGTTCAAGCTATTCTCCTGCTTCAGGCTCCTGAGTAACTGAGATTACAGACACCCACCACCATGCCTGGCTGATTCTTGTATTTTTAGTAGAGACCTCATTTTGCCATGTTGGCCAGGCTGATCTCGAACTCCTGACCTTAGGTGATCCGCCCCCCTCAGCCTCCCAAAGTGCTGGTATTACAGGCGTGATCACCATGCACAGCCTGAGGCACAGTTTTAAGAGGTCCTGAGAAAATGTGCCTGAGGTGACTGGGCTACAGCTTGGTTTTATACGTATGGAGATATAAGACATCAATCAGTACACATAAGGTATGCATTGGTTTGGTTTGGAGAGGAAAGGCAACTCAAAGCGGGAGTTTACAGGTCAGAGGTGGATTCAAAAATTTCCTGATTGCTATCTGTTGAAATGGGTAAGTTGTTATTTAAAAACTGGGGATCAATAGAAAGGAGTATCTGGGTTAAAATAAGGGATTGTGGAGGCCAAGTTTCTTATTATGTAGAATAGTTGGTAAATGTCTCTTATCAGACCTTAAAAGGTGCGGGACTTAGTTAAATCACTCCTGGATCAGGAAAATACTTGGACAGGGGAGGGGATTCTGTACGGAAAGTAGATTTTCCCCAGAAGAGACTGCTTTGAAGGGCCATTTAAAAATAAGTCAAAGGAATATATTTTGGGGCAAAATACTTCGATTTCTTTGAGAGCCTACTGTCATGTGATGCTATACCAGAGCCAGGTTGGAATTCGGTATCTCATTGCTGTGAAGTCTGATTTTTCATTCTTAAGATATCTGTTTTAATGTTAATACTCACTGGTCAGTTGTGCCTGAATTCCAAAGGGAGGAAGGTATAATGAGGCATGTCCAACCCCTGCTTCCCATCATGACCTGAACTAGTTTTTCAAGTTTACTTTGGAATGCCTTGGCTGAGAGAAGGGTTCGTTCAGTTGGTTGGGGGGCTTAGAATTTTATTTTTGGTTTACAGCAACAATAAATGGATATATCTTGCAAAAAAGTTACGAGACCAGCCAGAGAAGATCACTAAGAGTAATTAATATCACGAAAGCAAAGGATAATGTTTTATCTGTAGGAAAGAAATAGGCAGTTATGAAAAAGAATTGATATTGGTTTTTAAAAATGTTGAAACTAAACAATGCTGGTAAAGTTTCTTCGAAGTTCTATTTTTTTTTGGTAAAAACATTAGCTACTTGACTTAAGAAAATGAAGAAAACATATTCTTTGAAAATGCTTTGATTAAAATAAAGCTGTACAAACTGAGTTTAAGGATAAATGTTTGTCAAATGAATAACTTTCTTTTAATTTAAGGTGCTGTATTTTGGGATGTTATCCTTCAGAGGATTATTTTCTTGAAAAGGAAGGCATTTTTCTCCTTTTGGATGTGTTGGCAGTAAGTATGGCTGTAACAATTGTAAGACAAAAGACAAATATGTCTAATAAAGACCTCTTCCAAATTGAATGCCACAGAGCACTATTCTATGAATAAATGTGCCCCAAATCATGTTCAAAGGTACGGTCTTCAACAAAATTGCTCCTAGAGATTCATAATACACAGTGTATTAAAGGCTCTGAAAATTCCTCTGGTTGGAAAATCATTTTACCAGTATTTTTTCAATGTTTTCAAATACACGGGAATAAAGAATTTGTTTTTTCTTTGTACTCTATCAGCCTACTAAGAAACAGCTTGTGAAGAGCTTGACCATATCAAAACCCATAGTCATTTATTAATAACTTCTAGTTTCTTCCCCGATATTAAAATATAAGGGCCACATTAGACAAGGAGCAAAGATAAGCATTTTTAAAGAACTATGTATTATTTGGAGGTAATGTGAAGAAGTCTAGTGAGTCATAGATCATTGTTTTGCAGAATGAGCAAATGTGAGCAAGCTAGGCCTTCCGATAGAGATGGTGCTATCTAGCAGCTGTGAAGAATATAGCCCCTTAATAGCCTCAATTCTAACTGGAGTCCATAGTTAGGATGATATGGGAGGAAACGTACAATTTCGTTTCAATAAAACTTTGAGATTCTCACACAGGGATCTAGCCAGATCCCTGTGATTCTGTGATTGCCACCATTCTTGATTTTATTAACAGAATAACAAACCTACTTTGATTTAGCAAAGGTACTAAAATTATTTGTGCCCCTTAACCTCCCTGAAAGTTAGTTCATTTCTCTCTTTTCAATTTCTTTACTTGTAAAACAGAAATAACAACATTATATATCTTGTTGTATTGTTGGAAGGATTAACTGAGTGATTGTATGTGTGCATGTGCATCTGAGTGTGCATGCATACATATATATTATGGATTAAATATAGTGCCTAACACATTATTCCTGTGTTTACTGTTATTATGAATATTATTAGAGTATGTTTAATACTGATTCAACCAAATTAATTGCAAATTACAAATATTATTTAATGAAATTTTTACATCAATTTCAATCTTTCACATGTGCCTGTCTCCTGAAGTAGAGAAATAACAAACTCATTTCCTTGAGTGTTTTGCTTAATACAATTGTGCTGAAATAAAAAGTATGCAATGATAACGCTAATCATGGTTAAATAATAATGAGAGCTTACTATGTGCCAGACAGTCTCATATAACTCATAATAACCCTTTGCAGGTAATATTATCCTTTCATTTTATAAAAGGAAACGATGATGTTTGCAATTAAAACAAAAGCTTACATATTTCCTTTGCTATATTCAAATAGCAGTATACTATAAAAGTTAATCAACAAAAAGTATTTCACATAGAAGAATTAGATTATGGAGGCCATTGCTTTGGATGGAATTTTCTATACCTAAATTTTGGTGTGCTGAAGACTACTTGTAGCAAAATAAAGGAAATATGCTTTATAATAGGAGAATTTTTTTGAATCCTTAAATACTCGTTTATGGATGATGATTGCCACAGAACCAAATTACATCTTGTTTTATTTTCATATGTGATTGTCATTTGGAGTTACCATCAGTTACTCTCTTAATAAGAAAGAGATTACAGTTAGTATGAATCTACAAGCCTTGATAAAGCATATAAATTGGAAAGATCCTGTAATTACAGTGAACTCTCTATAACACTATTGAGCTTCACTACTTAAAACCAACATCTTCACTTATTTTTGCAAATCTCCTTTTTCCAACTCAACCACATCAGTCACATTTTGGTCATGATATATGTTTATAATGACTTCAGAATTACATTAAATGTTTTTCTTTTTATCCTTTTAAATTTCTAATGTTTGAAAATATAGTCATTACAATGGGTGTCCATTTTAACAGATTTTCCTGACTCTGAGTTTAGAAGAAACTTAATGATAATACAAGTGTTTCTCTCTTTTTTTTTTGAAGACAATAATTCTTAATATTTATTGCAACTTTTTTCCTTTTCTGTTTCCTTGCTAAAGTTGAACCAAAAAAAATTCTGTAATCTAATACTTGGAATAATGGTTGAATTTTGTGATAATCCCAAAACTGCAGCTCATGTCAATGCTTGGCAAGGGAAGAAGGATCAAACAGCTGCTAGTCTTTTAATTAAATTGTGGAGAAGGGAGGAAAAAGAACTAGGAGTAAAACGTGATAAAAATGGGAAGATCATTGGTGAGTATATTTATAATTGTTAGTAGAAGCAATTAATGTCTATATTTTAAAAGATCTTTAACTGGTATTAGGAAGGCATCAGGCCTTTCACCCCTTTGTCTAAATTTTTTTTTTAACAAGGGTTTGAAAAATTTGCTATCATAAGTGATTGGAAAAAAACTAAGTAAGTTAGTAGTAGGTTTATATTATTAGAGAATATTTTTAAGAAATGGTATTTAATTATATTCTTTAACTAAACAAAATTAAAGTAGTTCCTAAAGATGCTTCTTTGGGTTTTCTGCTTTTACAGATAGATTCGGTAATATTTCATTGAGATGTAAATAGATTGCTTCAAAATAATATTTTGTCATTTTATACATTTCTGTTCATTTTTCCTTTTTCTAAATCCATTAGGCATTATCCATAAAAAATCCATAAAAAATGGATTTTTTAAATCCATTTTTCCTTTTTTTAAATCCATTTAATCCATGATCTGATTAATGTTTACAGAGTTTACTTTTTATATGAAAGAAGATATTGTTTCCTAAATAAAAATAGTCCAAATGTTCAAAAATTTTAATTACTAGATTCTAAATTAATGATACAGTATCATAATTTTTAGTTCATTTACATATTCCATACTGCTATATTACTTTTTTGTGTGTGTGAGACAGGGTTTCACTCAGGTCACCCAGACTGGAGTGTGAAGGTACAATCTTGGCTCACTGAAACCTCTGCCTCCCAGGCTGAAGCGATTTTCCTGCCTTAGCCTCCCAAGTAGCTGGGACTACAGGCATGCGCTACCACACCCAGCTAATTTTTGTATTTTTTGTAGAGATGAGGTTTCACCATGTTGCCCAGGCTGATCTCAAGCTCCTGGACTCAAGCAATCCACTCACCTCAACCCCCACAATTGTTGGGATTATAGGCATGAGCCACCACACCTTTCAATATATTACATTTTCTTTTTTTCTTTTCTTTTTTTTTTTTTTTTTTTGGAGACAGGGTCTCGCTCTGTTGCCCAGGCTGTAGTGCAGTGGCACGATCTCAGCTCACTGCCACTTCTGCCTCCCTGATTCAAATGATTCTTCTGCCTCAGCCTCCCAAGTAGCTGAGTCTACAGGCACATGCCACCATACCCAGCTAATTTTTGTATTTTTTTATTAGAGACAGGGTTTCACCATGTTGGCTAGGCTGGTCTCGAACTCCTGACCTCAGGGGATCTGCCTGCCACCACTTGCCAAAGTGCTGGGATTACAGATGTGAGCCACTGCACCCCGCCTACATTTTTTAAGCCTTTTAAGATTCTTATGGTTTCATCTAAATGGTTCACATTTTTATTTATTTTATTTTAGGTTCAGGGGTACACATGCAGTTTTGTTATATAGGTAAACTCATGTCACAGGGGTTTGTTGTACAGATTATTTTGTCACCCAGGAACTAAGCCTAGTACCCAATAGTTATTTTATTCTGACCCTCTCCCTCCTCCCACTCTCCACCCTCTAATAGGCCTCAGTGTGTGTTGTTCTCCTCTATGTGTCTATGAATTCTCATCATTTAGATCCCACTTATAAGTCTTATAAGTGAGGACATGCGGTGTTTGGTTTTCTGTTCCTGTGTTAGTTTGCTAAGGATAATGGCCTCCACCTCCATCCATGTTCCCTCAAAATACATGATCTTATTGTTTTTATGGCTGCATAGCATTCCATGGTGTACATGGACCACATTTTCTTTATCCAGTCTGTCATCATGGACATTTAGGTTGATTCCATGTCTTTGCTATTGTGAACAGTGCTGCAGTGAACATTCATGTGCATGTGTCTTTATGGTAGAATGATTTATATTCCTCTGAGCATATACTCAGTCATGGGATTGCTGGGTCGAATAGTAGTTCTGTTTTTAGCTCTTTGGGGAATTGCCCCACTGCTTTCCACAATGGTTGAATTAATTTACACTCCCAGCAACAGTGTATAAGCATCCCGTGTTCTCCACAACCTTGCCAGCATGTTTTTTTTTTGACTTTTTAATAACAGCCATTCTGACTGATGTGAGATGCTATTTCATTGTGATTTCAATTTGCATTTTTCTAATAATCAGTGATATTGAGCTTTTTTCATATGCTTATTGGCTGCATGTATGACTTCTTTTGAAAAGTGTCTGTTCATGTCCTTTGCCCACTTTTTAATGGGGTTGTGTTTTTTCTTATAAATTTAAGTTTCTTATAGATGCTGGATATTAGACCTTTGTCAGATGCATAGTTTGCAAAAATTTTCTCCCATTCTATTGGATGGTTTTTCATCCTGTTGATAGTTTCTTTTACTGTGCAGAAGTTCTTAAGTTTAATTAGATCCCATTTGTCAATTTTTGCTTGTGTTCCAATTCCTTTTGGCATCTTTGTCATGAAATCTTTGCCCATTCCTAAGTCCAGGTTGGTATTGCCTAGGTTGTCTTCCAGGGTCCTTATAGTTTTGGGTTTTACATTTAAGTCTTTAATCCAACTTGAGTTGATTTTTGTATATGGCATAAGGAAGAGGTCCAGTTTCAATTTTCTGCATATGCCTGGCCAGTTATCCCATCACCATTTATTAAATAGGGAGTTCTTTCCCCATTGCTTGTTTCTGTCAGCTTTGTTGAAGATCAAATAGTTGTAGGTGTGTAGCCTTATTTCTGGGCTCTCTATTCTGTTCCATTGAACTGTGTCTGTTTTCGTACCAGTACTATGCTGTTTTGGTTACTGTGGTCTTGTAGTTTAGTTTGAACTTAGTTAATGTGATGCCTCTAGTGTTGCTCTTTTTGTTTAGAATTTCCTTGGATATTGGGGCTCTTTCTGGTTCCACAGGATTGTTTTAATAGTTTTCTCTAGTTGCCGGGCGCAGTGGCTCAAGCTTGTAATCCCAGCACTTTGGGAGGCCGAGACGGGCGGATCACAAGGTCAGCAGATCGAGACCACCCTGGCTAACCCGGTGAAACCCCGTCTCTACTAAAAAAAACAAAAAACTAGCCGGGTGAGGTGGCGGGCGCCTGTAGTCCCAGCTACTCCGGAGGCTGAGGCAGGAGAATGGTGTAAACCTGGGAGGCGGAGCTTGCAGTGAGCTGAGATCCGGCCACTGCACTCCAGCCTGGGCAACAGAGCGAGACACCATCTCAAAAAAAAAAAAAAAAAAAAAAGTTTTCTCTAGTTATGTGAAGATTGTTGTTGATAGTTTTATAGAAATAGTATTGAATCTGTAAATTGCTTTGGGCAGTATAACCATTTTAATGATATTGATTCTTCCTATCCTTGAGCATGGGATGTCTTTCCATTTGTTTGTGTCATCTCTGATTTCTTTAAGCAGTATTTTGTAATTCTCATGGTAGAGATCTTTTGGCTGCCTGGTTAGCTGTATTCCTAGGTATTTTATTATTTTTATGGCAATTGTGAATAGCATTGTGTTTCTGACTTGGTTGTTGGCTTGGCTGTTGTTGGTGTGTAGGAATGCTAGTGACTTTTGTACATTGATTTCATATCCCAAAACTTTGCTAAAGTTGTTTATCCACTAAAGGAGCTTTTGGACTGAGACTATGGAGTTTTCTAGATACAGACTCATGTCATCTGCAAGCAGGGACAGTTTGACTTCCTCTCTTCCTGTTTGGATGCCTTTTTTTTTTCTTTCTCTTGCTTGATTGCTCTGGCCAAGTTTCCAATACTATGTGGTGGAAGAGCGCATGCCTGTCTTCTGCCAGTTTACGAAGGGAATGCTTCCAGCTTTTCTCCATTCCATAAAATGTTGGCTGTGGGTTTGTCATAGATGGCTCTTATTATTTTTAGATATGTTTCTTTAAGTATTGTTTGTTTTTAAATGAAAATACTTCACCTTCTGATGACTTGTATCTTCCTTCAATCCATTTTTATTGTTTCTGAATTTTGACCTATAGCATCATAAAATAGTTTTTATATTTATAGCATAATATATAGAAACCAAAAGTAAAGAAGGTTACATCACTGTTAAACTGACATTACTCAAGTTCTGGATTTCAAAATTTTTAAAATTAGTTACATAGAAGTTTTACTTTTAAAAGGTAATTTTGTTAAATTTTAATATTTTACATAAGCAATAAAAATGAAAGCTCTAAGTTTTGCCACAGAGTGGGGAAGAAATAGCTGCTAAATTATTATTTCAAAAGTATAACCATGTAATAGGCACTATTTTTTTTGCTATAATATTTTTATGTATTTTATGTTATCTAGAGTAAAATCTCAAAATTATTTGTTTACTATGGTTTTGATCTGTCCCTTTTCTATTTTCATGCTATCCAATGGTTAGATACAAAAAAACCTCTATTTACTAGCTTTCAAGAAGAGCACGAAATCATCCCACTGCCTGCTAACTGCCCATCTATTGCAGTTATGGATGTTTCTGAGAATATTAGAGCAAAAATTTATGCTATATTGGGCAAACTAGGTAAGAAGTTCTCTTCAAATTTGCAAAAGTCTATCTGTTTTGCTAAGTATACACACTGATTTTACTTTGGAGTCAGTTTTTCAAATATAATGAGCAAAAGTCTCTTTACACAGAGAAATGCATTTTCCATTGTTGCCCCAATTCCCAAACTGCACCCCTCACCAATTAAATCAGAATCTCTGTGTGTGGGATCCAGGCAACAGTATTTTTTAAAGCTCCCCAGGCAATTCCAATATGCAGATAGGATTAAGGATAGTTAGTTTAGATGATTAAGCTTAAAATACTAACATTCTGAGTCACTTGAGTTTTTTTTAAGTCTTTGCTTTCTATTAAGGAAAAAGTTATCAAACACTTTTCAGCTTCTGAAGTAAGATATTATTGTCTGACTACAACACAGAAAGAAACTATTCCTATGTATTGGATGACCTGGCAGAAATTTGTTATAGAAGGAAGCCTACTCACAAGCTACTCACAGAATTAACTTTATCGTAAAGCAAAATGAAATCAAAAGTAACTTTGCATTTGTTTTAAGATAGGTAAGATAGATAGATAGATAGATAGATAGATAGATAGATAGATAGATTCTTTTAATCACTTGCTCTGCTAAAGTAATTCTGTCTTTATAAACTTTATTTTAGATTTTGAAAACTTACCTGGCCTCTCCGCTGAAGATTTTGTCACCCTCTGTATCATACATAGATATCTTGATTTTAAAGTAAGTATATTTTTAATAACCTGATTATTAAAATCTAGATAGCAAAAAACTAACTGGAAAATAAAAGATCTATTCATGGTTGTAAGCAATCATCTACATACTGTATAGTTTTTATTTTTCATTTTGCAACTGATGCTGTTGAAGAAATACAACATACACTCATCCCATGCTTGGGTGTTTTTCATGGGATAAGATCTCATCCAGCTTAGTTTATGAAAGAAGATGTACGAAACTGATATAAGCCGGGCGCGGTGGCTCACGCCTATAATCCCAGCACTTTGGGAGGCCGAGGCAGGCGGATCACGAGGTCAGGAGATCGAGACCATCCTGGCTAACACGGTGAAACCCTGTCTCAACTAAAAATACAAAAATTAGCCAGGCATGGTGGAGGGTGCCTGTATTCCCAGCTACTTGGGAGGCTGAGGCAGGAGAATGGTGTGAACCCGGGAGGCAGAGCTTGCAGTGAGCCGAGATCACACCACTGCACTCCAGCCTGGGCGACAGAGCAAGACTCTGTCTCAAAAACAAACAACAACAACAAAAAAAACTGATATAAAACTATTCAGAAGCCTACCAAAATATAGATATATATATTTTTTTGAGATGGAGATTTTGCTCTTGTTACCAGGCTGGAGTACAATGGCATGATCTTGGCTCACTGCAACTTCTGCCTCCCGGTTCAAGTGATTCTTCTGCCTCAGCCTCCCAAGTAGCTGGGATTACAGGCATCTGCCACCACACCCAGCTAATTTTTGTATTCTAATTTTTTGTATTCTAATTTTTAAATTTTTGTATTCTCATGCTTGTAATCCCAGCACCTTGGGAGGCTGAGGTGGGTAGATCACACGAGCTCAGGGGTTCGGGATCAGCCTGGCCATACAGTTTCTTCTCTTTGGAGTTGGAATTAAATAAGTTATTACTTATTAAAACAAATTATTAATACTTATTAAAGTATTATTTTATCATTATATTATGATCCAATCTTGATTAAAAGATAGTAGATTACTTACCTTACTAGTTATAATTTTGTCAGTAAATACTTTTGAAGTCTCAAGAAAGTCTTTTTAACATTCTCCTACTAATATTAGTGCTGTGTATTTGAATGTTGTAAATGAGTAAACATCTATCATATTTCTTTCTTTCTTTCTTCCTTTTTTTTTTGAGGCAGAGTCTCACCCTGTCACCTAGCCTAAAGTGCAGTTGCATGATCACAACTCACTGCAACCTCAACCTCCCAGGCTCAAGTGATCCTCCAGCCTCATCCTCCCAAGTAGCTGGGACTACAAGTGTGTACCACCGTACCCAGCTTTTTTTTTTTTTTGGATAGAGACAAGGTCTCACTGTGTTGCTCAGGCTGCCCTCAAACTCCTAGGCTCTAGTGATCTACCCACTCCACTCAGCCCAAAGATGAATTTTTTCCCATCATAGATATTTTTTTTCTTTAATTTTATGGGTCCAGCACACTTCTGCTGCACAACTCTGCTCTTTTTTCTCTAATTCTAAATACACTCAAGAACATTAATTTCTAGACAGCCTAGAATATGAAATGGAGCCACTGGCATGACGGAACCATGGAGTTAAAAGCTTGAGATTCCATTATAATTTTCCTTAGCTAGAAGGTGAGGGGCAGGGCCCCTTTTCTCAGGGTGGCTGGGTTCTAGGGTCCTAGTAATCCCCATGTTCATTCTCCTACAAGTTCATCTTGACCTAGCCTTCAATACATAGCTTTAGGGAGGAAAGTAACAGTAGTTCAAAAAGATGAGAATAAATCAGCAGTTTCTGCAGCTGTGAAATCAAGGTAACTATAAACTAGAAGGCAGTGATGATGGTGATGATGGCAGTGAACTAGGCATAGGAGAGCCTTATCCATGAATAAGGCTCCATTGAAAAACATTTGATAAATTCCTACTGAGTACTCAAATGTAGCTGGTACCCTCAATCATTCCCAATGCACTTATTCCCAAGAAGCAATTTAGGAAAAGTTTAAGTGTTAACAGCAGTAACTAACCATTTAAAAAATTGTATTATTGTACAATTGCATCATTTATTTTTGGTTAATTTAACTTTGTTAAACTTTGTTGTAACAGATGGGAGAAATATGGAATGAAATATATGAAGAAATAAAATTAGAAAAATTAAGACCAGTCACTATAGATAAAAAAGCTTTGGAAGCTATTACAACAGCATCAGAAAATGTTGGAAAGATGGTTGCTTCTCTGCAAAGTGAGATAATTGAAAGCCAAGCACGCCAAGATGTGCAAAATGAACAAAAAGTATATGCAAAAGTAAGCTACATAGGTAGTGAGGAGGGAGAATGAAGATAGGTTGGTTAATGGGTACAAAAATACAGTTAGATAGAATAAGTTCTATTGTTCAATAGCACAGTAGGGCAACTATAGTAACAATAATTTATTGTATATTTCAAAATACCCAGAAGACTTGGAATGTTTCTAACACAAAGAAATGATAAGTGTTTGAGGGGATGGATATCGCAATCACCCTGATCATTACACATTGTATGCACATATCAAAATATTGCCTGTATGCCATAGATATGTACAACTATTATATATCAATAAAAAAGTAAGCCACAGATACCATTAAGGCACAAGATATTAATTTCAGTGTATAAACCCAGATAAAGTTATCCGTAGGATATATTTTTCTTACTTGTGTTTCAGCCTTGAGTTATTTTGTGATTTTCTCTTAGAGTCATTTTCAGTGTCTCTGTGCAGTTTTAAAAGAAACTATGAAGTTTGAGATTCAGTTACTGTATTCAGTGCTTTTTTTTGCATTATAATTTTATTTCTACAGTCTTAAATTTTTAAAAGGCAGAGAGATACTGGAGACATGCTACTACACGCCAGCCTGGGTGACAGAGTGAGATTCTGTCTCAAAAAAAAAAAAAGAAACTGAAACTTAATTATCTTTCTCATTTCAGATACAGGCCACACACAAGCAAAGAGAGCTGGCTAATAAATCATGGGAAAATTTCTTGGCTAGAACATCAAATGCGAAAACGTTAAAGGTAGGATTTTTAATATATTACAGTATCCACAACAAATAGCCAACTCTTGACAGACAGACTTTTTCAGGAACAAATATTCATTCATTTTTTCCTAGTGACCTTTCCATATACTACCAACACTATTAGATGCTCATATGCAATTTAGAGTGATAACTGAAACTGCATTTCACAGTTACAGAAGATGCTGCTTTGAGTTTCATTTGGTTTATCAGGGAGAAGCAAGGCTGATGTTCTTGACCTACATAAAGAAGAAGATGATAGCCAGGAACGAGCAGGAAAAATGTGTTCTGCTTTCCATTCTGAACTTGCTTGTTCATTGATTTCTTTCCTGTGAGAGGCAAAGTAAAGGACACAAAGAGCAACTATCTTGTATTACTCTCTCCCCCATAGAGTTTTCCCCTCTGTGATCACCAAAAGAAGCATTATGTTAAAACTTAAATGTGAACTGGGGATAAATATGCCTTTGTAGAAAAATGTGGTAAGCTACTTCAACTGTAAGCTAGAAACTCATCTAAAAAATGTATAGTGCTAATCATTCACTTGAAATATGTGAGAAACACCATGGATTTCCAGAATTTCATTACTTTCCCCAACCTTTTTCCATTAATATATTGGATACACTTTTTTAAAAATCTCTCCTTCATTTCTGATACTTTGGATACACTTTACCTAATGTTCCAATTCTTCCTGTAGATATAAAATTGCTAAATGTTAGTCCACAAAGACAGTGGAACCATATTAAGATAGCAAAACCAAAGTTAAGAACAAGCTCACTCAAGGTACCAAGTTATCTCCCTTTTCACTGATAGTTCTTCTCAACTCTACTTATAAAATATCTTCATGACTGCCTGTATTTTTAGCACTAGTTAATGAAAATCAGCTCCTTTCCTGCAGATGGTTTATTACTTCACATTTCACTTGTTTAGTGTCGCAAATAACTTGAAAATAACTTCAAATAGCTTAAATATAACTGCAATGAATTACATAATTTATATTATTCTGAATGCTTAATATGTAAGTATACTTAATCAGTTGGTAATTTATGCAACATATTTTGCAACATGCATCACCTGATATAAATTTAATAGCTTATTAAATTATGTGCTAAAAATTGAACCTGATTTCTTTAGGACCTGCTTGACTCCTTGGTCATGTATGACCAATACTTCCGGAAATCTCTGGAAGACTTTTAGGTGGCAGGAGTCTTCTTCAATGTGCAAAGTATCTAACTTACTAATAACTGTCTTTTTAGTTTAAATGAGTAAATGTAGATTTCAGTGCTATCTAATAAATAGCCAAAGCATAAGCTAGACACAATTAAATATATTTTTCATTGTAAGTACCATCATTACTGATTTCATAGCAATTAATGTTTTCTTTCTAATTAAAAAATCCTCAGAAAGCAAAAAGGCTTCAAGAAAAAGCTATAGAAGCCTCCAGATACCATAAACGACCACAAAATGCAGTATTTCACCAAACAGATATTAAAGGCCTTAACACAACGGTAAGATTCTTTTTCTCCATAACATTTTCTTCATAGACATTAAATTTAGGGTGTTTGTACAACTGTGCAAATATACTGAAAACCATTGAATTTTACACTTTAAATGGGTGGATTATATGGTATTTACTTATATCTGAATAAAACTGTTCAAAAAAGAAAAAAATTAAAATTTAAAAATTAGAAGTTAAAAAATCTAATAAAAAAAAAACTTAGGTTCCCAAAATTTTATTTATATGGGATTTTCATCTCACATTTTTTCTTTTTGCTGTTCAAATTTCACATCATTAAGACATGTTTATCTCCAAGGTATATCCACTTTTGCCCAGTTCTGGTTTAGAGTAGGCCCAGTCCTCCAGGCTTTCTAAGAAACTGCTGTAAACACTAGTCAGCTTATAACTGTCCTTATCTCTCTTTGACAGAAAAGACGCAGTGCTTTGTTTTCCTGGCAAATAGATCCCAAGTGTTCCTGGTATCCTCTGCTAGACTTAATTTGCCCCCAGTTACAAAGCTGATAAGCAATAGAAATAGAATTCAAACCTACTTTTCCTGGCTCTGATGCCCTTATGTTTGTTATACCATAACTACTTCCTTATTACTCATATGTACATTTGTGTCTTTTCAAAAGTAAGTTGAAGGATGAATTTTTCTCTTGTTGAAAATTGTGTAAATGAACTTTTTACCTTTTTTAGGTGCCCTCCGGTGGGGTAGTAACAGTGGAAAGCACTCCTGCACGATTAGTAGGAGGACCTCTGGCTGATACGGCTATTGCTCTTAAAAAACTGCCCATTCGAGGAGGAGCCTTGCAGAAGGTGAAAGCAGTTGAAATTGTGGATGCACCAAAAAAGAGTATTCCTACATAATATATTCTAGAGACTTTTTGAAATAAAATCAGCTCGTAATTTTTTAGTTGAATATATCTTTATACATATGTAAAGCCAATATTTTAGAATAAGTATTTTAGTATAAATATTTTAGTAAAATACTATAAAAATAAAAGGACATATAATTTATTTTTATGGAAAACATCAACATGTAATATCAGAAGAGTTGTCATCAGTTGCTTTGGAAAGGCTACCAATATTATTAAGTGAAATTGTAAAACATCAGTTAGGACTCTGTTGGTTGCATGTGAACTATTCTAACTAGTTTAAGCCAGAAAAAAAATTTCTTACAGGCTCTGTATCTATCAAACCTAGGAGGAATTTAAACTACAGGCATTGCTGAATCTAAGGACTAAAACTATATGAGTAGGATCTTCTCCTTCCCTGGCAGCTCCTGGCTTATATTCTCTTAGGTTCATGCCTGTGTCTCCGTGGTTTCTGCAAATGCCTATGCATCTCAGGACCCCGATTGCCCACATGCCTACTTCTGAGTCATTCACCATGACTTTGGCCATGGCTGAGTACTGCCTATTCCTGGAGCCAGAAGCAGGGCAACTCCATCCAAAACATATGGATAGAGTGGGGAATCAGGGTACTATTACCAAAAGCACGTATATATGAATATTGGGCAGCAAGATAAACAATAACTCTGCAACAAATATGTTGGTCAAAATAAAATTATGTTTTCTCTGCTATAAAAGCAAATGTTAGTCATGAGCTAAATGGTAAAAAAGAAAAATATAGCTGGTTTTACTCTTAATGTATAAATATGCCAAGCAAACTCTAATGCTACTTCTCTTCTTTGATGGGGAAGAGAAAGGTGTAATGGGGGAAGTGTTTTCCCTCATTTGGTAGTAGAGGTATCTTGTCAAAGAATAGGAGATAAATGCCTTTATGCTAGACATAGAGCAAATCTGTATCCCTGGATGCCGTTATGAAGTCTCCCTCTCCTGCCTTCATTCCCTTCACACTCCTCCTCCAGCCTGGAAGCCATAAAGTTGAGTTCATGTCCAGGGATCAGAGAAACAAGGACCTGTTTCTTAGGAAAATAAACGAATTTGAGTCTAGATTCTGGGCCCATGGGGCACACTCAGCAGTGTACTGGTAAATGTATAACTACTGCCTCTCCAGGAGGGAAAAGCCCTGATTTACATCATGTTCTCACCAATTCACATGGTATAAATACTGCCACTATTACCAATCGCAAGCTACCAACGTGATGCCATTGAATACAGTGTTGGGGAAACATAGATAGCGTCTTTCATTATTAGATAAGAGCAGGCTGTATCACCTCAATGGACCCACATTTTCCTCCCTCTTCTTTCTTCCTCCTCCCCCTCCTCCTCCTCCTCCTCTTCCCTCAACTCACATTCTTCTAGGGATTTTCCATTATCCTGTCTGTGAAGATAGTAACGTCTTCATTGAGGGGTAGAGGTTGCAGCTGTTGTTACTGTTCTAATTAGAATGAGTTGCCAGTTCACCTCTGATTGGCAGCCTCTCACCCTGGCCCAGATGCCCATCCTCTTGTGCTCCATAGGAGTAGATAACATGCATCAGTTTATCAGTGAGCTTTGTTCTCTCCTGAATCCCTTCCTCTAGTGTACCACCCTCAAGAAGATATTAGAAGGCATAATTTGTTTCTTTCCTTCACAGGAAACCCTAAGCATGGGTAGGAGCATACAACAATGAGATGCCCATACAAAAAGCACCAGATACATCTTAGGTACACGTCAGTAAACCCAGAATTGATGTAAAGTGTCCATGGCTAAGAACAATGAACCTTTGCTCCATTTTGTAGACTATAAGCACTCTAAGAACAAGGTAGACACCATATCCCATTAATTATTGTATTCAGTATCTCAGGAAATAAATTATTAGATAATTTGATGGTGGCCTCAGCTCCTGGCAGCCTTTCCCTTGAGCTCTGCAAATGCAGCAAAGTACTGAGCTCAAAGGGAAGATTCAGCCAACAAAATACTATACAAGTAATGCTCAACACAGACAACATGTTAGTTTAAACGTATTTACTTCATAGCCGGGCGTGGTGGCTCATGCCTATAATCCCAGCACTTTGGGAGGCCAAGGCAGGCAGATCACGAGGTCAGGAGATCGAGACCATCCTGGCTAACATGGTGAAACCCCGTCTCTACTAAAAATACAAAAAATTAGCCAGGTGTGATGGCGGGCACCTGCAGTCCCAGCTACTCGGGAGGCTGAAGCAGGAGGATGGCGTGAACCCGGCAGGTGGAGCTTGCAGTGAGCCGAGATTGCGCCACTGTACTCCAGCCTGGGTGAAAGAGCGAGGCTCCATCTCAAAAAAAAAAAAAAAAAAAAAAAAAGTATTTACTTCGTAACATGATAGATTTTTGAAAATCTACTACATGAATATAACCAAGGTGTGGAAATAGTACTACTTGCTTGAGAATCATTTTTGTATGTAGTACAACTAAATGTCTCAGATTGATTAGGACTGACTCTAGATAATTTGTGATGTCTGTGGACCTTTCTTCTTCCATGTAGGTTTTGCCTATCAGCAAGAAGAAAGGTAAAACAGAGCAGATTATTATGTAACAGCTGTTTAATAGACAAATAAGTTTAAGTTGATGGAGAGCAGTAATGTTCCTTAATGCAGACACTTGTACTTGGTAGATAGATTCACCCAAGTTTGTGTATTATAATTCCAGCCACCACACAATGAGTGAGTGAATCTTTCTCACAATGTCACTAACTCTAAGTCTCTGTCTCTCATCACATCCTATACTCTCACACCACCCCTGAGCCCTAGGGGACATGATGCCTACCCGATCCTGCCTGGCTGAGAGAAGGATGGTATATTTTCTTACATTAGTCAAGTGAGACAAAATTTCAAGCTTTCAAACTGAAATTTTTACTAACCAACTGAATGAAAAGAAAGTCAAAAGAATAAAAGTGTGGAATTCAGTGAGCACAGATAAAAGTAGCTTCAACAATCTCAGTAATGAGACTTTGACCACATGGGGGAGCTCAATCTAGCATAGTTAAACTAATTGTCAGACAGTGCTTACTTAACATTGGGTGAAAAATCAGTGAATAATTAGGTGAATAACTTTCATCCATCTGGCATCCTCAGTCTGCCTCATGGAACATAAAGTATATTTTACATACATCTATGTTATCCACCTTAAGTCTTTTCAGGTCAAATATCCAGTTTCTTTCATCATTCTTCTGATAATATAATTTCTAGAATTTATGAATCTGGTCAGCTCTATCTGAAGTGCTACAATTTGTTAATATTCCTCTAAACTGTGACCAAACAGAACAAAGATTTTTCAGGTGGGCAGGATCAATGTAGTCCCTGTCATTTTTAACACGCATTCTGCCAACACAACCTTAACTTCATTAGTTTCATTATCAACCATTTTTCTTTATTGCTTATATTTAGTTGCCTTTCAAGGAAAATGTCAGGGATGCTTTCTGAAAAAGAATAGCAGACCCTGACATCCAGGAACTATCCTGGTACTATCAGGTCAAAATTCTATAGATAGACCCAATACCCCAACTTTGGTTTCTAATATCATTCTCCAGTAAAATGAGCCAGGGCTTCTTGGAGAAATGGCTAATTCTAAGGCTGGGGCAGAAATATATGAGTCTGGAGCATCTCACTGAGCTCCCAGTGGCCAAAGCTGGAATGATTTGAACAAATCAATAATGTACAGTTGGATTATAAACCAAAGTATAAACAAATGTTCAAACTCCATACTGATATAAATAAATGATGAAAGGAAGGAAAAAAGGAAGGAAGGGAGAGAGAAAGTGGGGGAAGCCTCCATGCAAAGAATTCTAAATGATTTATGTAGATATTCCCTCCTCAAGAGGTAGAAGATAACTACCCATTCTCAAGTATGGGTTATGCTTAGTGACTTCTTTCCAGAGGATATAATATAGAAAGAAAGTGGAAAGAAACTTTACAATGGAGAAAATTGGCAAACACTACCTTAGCCAAGGTTAAACACCATCAATGGCAAGTCACGTCAATGACATGTGCCTTTGATATGACGTGTTGAGTATGATTTACCTGTGTGGTCTTCATCCCAAAAGCCTATAATACCAGTCTAACAAATACATCAGGCAAACCCAAATTGAGGGGCATTTTGCAATATGCCTGACCAAAATTGTCAAGGTCATCAAAAACATGGTCTGAGACATTGTCACAACCCACAGAAGCCTGAGAAGACATGGCAACTCAGTGTAACATGGGATCCTGGAACAACAATAACAAAAAAGGAGCTTAGGGGAAAACTACTGAAATCTGTATAAAACGGGAAGTTTAGTTAATATTGTATTGAGTTCAGTTTATTAGTTGTGACATATATAATGTAAGATATTAACAATAAGAATAAACGTGGGGCCAGCACAGTGGCTCAGGCCTGTAATCCCAGCACTTGGGAGGCTGACTTAGGCAGATCACTTGAGTCCAGGAGTTGGAGACCAGCTTGGGCAATGGAGTGCAATCCTGAATCTACAAAATACAAAAATTATCTGAGAGTGGTGGTGTACACCACACCTGTAGTTCCAGCTATTTGGGAGGCTGAGGTAGGAGGATCAATTGAGCCCAGGAGGTTGAAACTGCAGTGAACTGTGATTGCATTACTGACACAGCAAGACCCTGCCAAAAAAATAAAAAAGAAAGAAAAAGAAAAAGAAAAAAAAATGGTGAGAAGTATATAGGAACTCTGTACCATCTTGCAACTTTTCTTCAAATTTAAAACTATTTTAAAATGAAAAGTTTATCAAATTTACAAGAAGAAAACATTAAAAAGTGGGCAAAGGACATGAACATTTTTCAAAAGAAGTCATACATGCAGCCAACAAGCATATGAAAAAAAAGCTCAATATCACTAATCATTAGAGAAATGCTATCAAACCACAATGAGATACCATCTCACACCAGTCAGAATGACTGTTATTACAAAGTCAAAAAAATAACAGATGCTGGCAAGGTTGCAGAGAAAAGAGAATGCTTATACACTGTTGCTGGGAGTGTGAATTAGTTCAATCATTGTGTAAAGCAGTGGGGCAATTCCCCAAAGAGCTAAAAACAGAACTACTATTTGACCCAGGAATCCCATGACTGAGTATATGCTCAGAGGAATATAAATCTTTCTACCATAAAGACACACGCACATGAATGTTCACTGCAGCACTGTTCACAATAGCAAAGACATGGAATCAACCTTGTCTTTAAACATGCCCATGATAACAGACTAGATAAAGAAAATGTGGTCCATGTACACCATGGAATGCTATGCAGCCATAAAAACAATGACATCGTGTATTTTGAGGGAACATGGATGGAGGTGGAGGCCATTATCCTTACCAAACCAACACAGGAACGGAAAACCGAATACCACATGTTCTCACTTAAGTGGGAGCTAAATGATGAGAACTCATGGACACAAAATTGGGAACAACAGACACTGGGGCCTACTTGAGGGTGGAGAGTGAGAAGAGGGAGACGATCAGGAAAAATAACTATTGAGTACTAGGCTTAGTACCTGGGTGATGAAATAATCTGTGCAACAAACCCCTGTGACATGAGTTTACCTATATAACAAACCTGCATGTGTACCCCTGAACCTAAAATAAAAGTTTAAAAAATAAACAAAAGTTTATTTAAAGTTCAAAAAAGAGTCTGGCCAGGCTTGGTGGCTTATGCCTGTAATCCCAGCACTTTGGGAGGCAGAGGCAGGTGGATCACCTGAGGTCAGGAGTTCAAGACCAGCCTGGTGAACATGGTGAAAC